CATCTGTTCCAAGACATCGAGGAATCCATATGCTGTAGCAAAATCCCCATCAGCGACTGCCCGAGCGGCCTCCACCAGCACCTCTTTCAAGTCCAACTGCGGAGTCAAAGCCAAGAGTTCATCCCAGTTCCACGACTTCCCAACAGCAGGGCTGAAACCAGAGAATTCTTCAACTTTTGTATCACCACTCAGCAGTGAGACCTCAAGTTCCCGAATCTTACTCTTGACCCCAGCTTCATCATAGGCAAAAGAAGACACCCCACTCAAGGGTGATCCATAGACGTTGTCAGGGGAAAGATGGAGATCTGAAATGCATGACTGAGAGCCCTGAGGAGAAAACGGGGTCCGGCCAGATGTGATGCTCACAGAAGGAGAGTCATACGAAGGAAGACTACCAGAAGCAGTGGAGGATTCGAGTGTAAAAAAGTTTTCTTTGGATGGGATATCAGAGAAGCCATTGCTGTCTTTCGCTTGAAACTGAGGCGAACAGTAGACTTGAGGATACAGCATGTGCAGTCCAGCCGCACTGTGATGTTTCTGAGACGTTTGCATTGGAGAAACCCAGAAATACACTACACACCTCCGGAATCAATCTTCTTTTAGCCAAATCACTCTCTACAGTGTAACTTGCTCAAACCAAGGAGAACAAAAACCTGTCTCCATGAAATAAAAATCCAAAAAGAACAAGTGAGCTACAAGCCTACAACAGAGTAAAGCAACTATATACAGACACTGTGATTCGTGACACAAGAAAAAAATGGTCTTAGTTCTGAAATTTCCTCCAAACAAACTCAAACATATGTACTAAAAGCCCCTTGACAAGTCTGCTCTTACAATCAGTCACTCAATCATAGGGTTATCAGAAAACAGATCTGACATCTTTCAGAAATCAAATATCGGTTTTTGCTACTGCCTTAAGATTTCTATTGCCAGAAAAAGAAATAATCGATTCAGAGCTTCCACCCCAAAAATCGAAGCTTTCCACTCTCTAAATCTCTCTCTACAGAAGAAACCACATCTATTCGAAGGTTGGAGACAAACTAAAGCAGAGGTTTTTACCAGAATCAGGTTAAACTAAGGAATTGCAAAGCTTTAAAACCCATGCTCAAAGTTAAGATTTTATACATTCATCAGCATAAAGTTTAGTACTTTTGAATACACACAAGGCAAACAAAGGGACAGGTAGACAAATCGATGTTGGTTACAGGGAATAATCGCTTTTGCACCACAACCAAATCAAACAAGTCATATCCTTTCAAAAACCAACAATCAAAAAGACACATATAAGCTCAGATTCCAAAACCATATGATCAAAAGCTTAAACCTAGATAAGAGTACAGCTAAAGAAGAACCAATTGTTAAATTTAGAAACATATGGAATTGAATCGTTTGACAAGAAAATAAAAAGAGAAAGAGACTACATAGATCACCATGAAAGCTAACCTTTTGAAGAAATTTTGATGATTGGGAGATTTTGTTTGGAAGGGGACAAAAGAGAAGTTTTCGTTGCATACTCAAGAATCAGCTTGAGGAAGAAGAAGGAGATAGAGATATAAAAGTGCAAATTGTCATGACTCTCTTGGAGCTAATTAAATGCCCTCATTCATTCCGATTATTTACTTAAATGCCACTATCACCATTGACTTTTGGACGGCAGTAGCTGCACTACCACTGTTTATTCATTCATTAATTACTCTTGTTAACGCCTAATTGCTTATCATTAATAAAATGCTCAAGTAGAGTAATTACAATGTGAATATTGGGAAATAGCGTGTGGTACATAAAAATTATAAACATTGGGTAGACTAATTTGTAATGTGTTTTCTACTCTTGTCCCTTTCGTTTTTATAGAAAATAGTCAAAATATGGAAATCATTTTCTTTCTAATTTTACTTCCATTAAAGAAATATTTTGACCGTGGCTTACATTGTCATGTGATTTTTATTTCTTTGTTAACTTCATAAATTAAATCAAAACCTTTTGTTTAGTTTCGACCACAAAAAAAAAAAAAAAACAATCATCCACTCCGAAAAAGAAAATCATGGAGGAACCATCAACAAAATCAAGCTAACACTACGAGTTAAGTAATCAGTCCAAGTATTCATGATGTTAAAACTATATACATATAGTTTTGAAGAGCCACACTACATTTATAATTAACGAGAATGACATGATATATCAAACTTATGGTTCATGGAGCATACTAAAATGAATGTAACATTTAAGAAAAACTAGTGTCTTTTTTATCCACAAGCATATGTAAGTATATAATATACCCAATGTCAAAGTTATTTTTTCGTTTCTATTTAAGTATTTAACTAGATTTTAATCCGCGGTACACCGCGGGGCTATAATACTAAAAAAAAAGTTTGACAATTAATTTTTTTTGAAGATTATCTATATATATAATCTATAGTTTTGTTTGACTAAATGTATTTATATATGTATATCCTATACTATTTATATCCGGCGGTACATCTCTGATCGATTTTTTTATAACTAATTTTTTTTAATTTTAAGTTGTATTTGTTTTGTTAATATTGTATGTTTTATTTAGTGTTTAAGATTATATAATTGTATTTGATTGTTAATTCTAGGATTTCATCCATAGTATACCGTCCCGATTAATATCGATCCAAACCCGTTCCACCATATAACTCCGTCCCGTGAAATTAAACATCATTTTGTTATATTTCTTTTGAATTAATATTTTTATTTTAAAAACATATAATTCGAATCAATTTAAAAGTTTGCTTTAAAAACATAAATTTGTAATGTTTTTATTATGATAAAGTAATAATATACAGATGTTGTTTACTATGTAGTTATAATTAAAACCAACTAAAATCTAAGTTTAGTGTAGATTATGAATTATAGTTATGAATTATGGGTAAATATTTTTTACTAATGAAATACATGCTATTAAGTTACTATCCCAAAGGCAAAAAGTTTTTTTTAATAATCAAGGCAAATATTAGAATTTTATTTGAACAACTAATTTGTCAAAGCAAAACGAAATACAACAAAACTAAAATTAAATATATAAAAAAATATTAAAAAATTTAGAAAGACAAAGTGGTAGTATATTTGGTAATTAAAGGTCATAGATTATCTTCATTCTTCTTTGGAAAAAATAAACAGAGACAAAATCATCTTCAATCTCCCATATCTTAACATTTTCTTCTCCTAGAGTTTTCGATTATGAGATTACACCATATAATTGAAAAATTGTGGTGACGATCAAGTAAATAAGCAGAGAGAAAGAGAGATCGAGATCGTCAGCAAAAGCCGCCGCCATATTTTGACCCTTAACCGTCGCCACCTCCCGCCTAACCGTCCGCCAGGTATTGCAGCACCGGAGATGTCGTCGATCAATCAGACTGATGAAATAGAGGACATTATGGCTTGCGTAACGGCTTTGGAAGCTGCTCTGTTGCCATGTTTACCCGCTGGAGAGCTTCAAGTCATCGACGGCTCTTGTCATCCTTTATAGAGATCTGATGATTTGTGGATTGGTAAACGCAAATTGCGTATACTCTGATGACTTTTCTACATTCATTGACAGGCTATATATAGAGATACTTGATGTCAAGGTTAGGTGTGATTGCGAATCTAGAGAAAATTGGTAAGCAAGCATAAAATCTCCGAAATATCAATTATATTAAGTAATACAAATTATTTACTATTTAGATAAGGAATATGCTACTAATAAGGAGTGTTAGTGTAGTAATTATTTATTATATCCTTTATTTTCTCGATCTCTATAGCTAGCAAATGGAGAAAATCTTGATTGAATTTAGATTACATGTATTTTGATTAGAATTAAAATAAAAGATTTAGTATTTAGATAAGGAATATGCTACTAAGAAAGAATGTTAGTGTACTTATTAGTTTCTATGCCCAATATTTTCAAGATCACGTTCGCTATTAGGAATATTTTTGAGGGAGTTCAGTTGGGATTCACAACTAATAATCGAGATTTACAAACTAATTAATGTCGATTTTGATTTAATGTTGTAAGAGGAAATTTCGGAAATATCCGAAATTGAAACCGGGTCACTCGTTTTTAAAAAAAAACCCACCCAACCAATGACATTCTTTGTAAATACATACCAACTCCAGGATTTATTTGCTAAAAGTCATCCAAAAATATATATATAGATAAGACTTCGGCTTTTAAACATTGTTTCAAAATAGTCCCGTTGAAATTAATGCTTAAGACTAATTTGGTCAATTTTAAAATATTTTGTCTTCTATTTTTTCCATATAGTCAAATTTTATAGATTTCTATTCAAAATGGTTGACTTAATTGTTAATGTGAAAATTTTCCGATGCATATTTGTTGATATAAGATTGGATGAAACTGAGAGCAATCACTTTTGAGTATCTTTGTATGCGGAAAGATTTATACATAAGTAAGAAGTTGCACATATATCGAATCTATATACCAACGGACAACGGTGATCGCGAATGCAACGGAAACGAACGACACAAAGGATAATATCATAATAAGAGAAATATCAGGGGATATGCATAGAGGAAGCGTTAATTAAGTCCCTCCTTTTTACACTGTTCCATCGCTTCTGTTCAATTTATTTTGACGCATGTACCCCTATAGCATCAAAGGAGTCGTTTTTAGATTATAGGGCTGTATCATTGCAGAAAGAAGGGGAAGATTTTGCGAGATATTGTTTTGGGGAGATGTGCGTTTATTTTTTATTTTTTATTTTTTTTTCCTTCTCCAGTTTCCGAACAGTCGTGTATGTTCTCTTCATATATCAGGAGGAGAGATGGTGTTTTCAGTCAGAGAGAAAAACGAAACAATTCCCCAAAATTGTTCTCTCATATTCTTTTTCTCTGGTTCTGTTTTTCTAGCAAAGGTTTATCTCTCAGATCTGTGGTTTGTTCTTCTCCTCTTTTTGTAACTAAAATCGTTTTTTTTTTGTTTGATTAAGCTTTGAACGCTGTGTTTATTGTTGTGTAACCAGAGTTTATTTTTTTTTTCTCAGAACCGATGCCTCCGATTCTGCTTCCTCCCCGGTTGATTGCGTTTGGTCACGAGCCTCGCGGCGAGAGGGTCAATGTGTATCATAAGATGAAAACCCTTTGCGCTATCTTCAATGCTCTCGACGATGGTGAACGGCAGTTCCTTTCTCGATCCACATTCGGTCAACTATTGGAGTTTCCTAACAAACCTGCCTGGTCTGCGAGCTTTGGGATTTTTATATTGGGTAGACAGTTGGAGGTGGCGAAGCCGAACGAGATTTGGGTGCTCTTTGCCGGAATTCCTATTCGTTTTTCATTGAGAGAGTTCAAGATTGTTACGGGTTTACCTTGTGGGAAGTATTCGGCTTTGAAGAAGAAAAAGAAGAAAGGCACTGCGGGGATGACGATTCCATTTTACAGTAAATTGTTTGGCCTTGAAGAAGATGTAACTGTAGACCGGGCTATCACGATGTTGAAGAAAAGGATTATCTCCGATGCCGACATGAGGATCCGATGTGCTTGCTTAGCGATTGTCGATGGTTTCCTTGTCCCTACCTCTCATTATCCTAAGATTGTTAAAGCTCACGCCGAAATGGTTGAAGACCTGGATGCATTTCTTGCTTACCCTTGGGGCCGTCTCTCTTTTGAGATGATGATTAAGTCGATAAAAGAGAGGGAAATTGAACAATTAGCAATTACTTGTTTTAGCGTTCAGGGGTTGTTATACGCTCTGCAATTGGTTGTCTTACAGGCAGCTCCATCTATCCAAGATGGACCTGTAATTGATGAGATCATTGAGTCTGAAACTGAAGCCGGCGATGTCGATGTTGAAGATGCCCCTCGAGAGTCTGTCCCTTTCAAGCTAGGGAATGCTAAAGTGTTGGATAAGAAATGCTCGGTAATGTACTTATCTCTTTAACTTTGTTAACATTTATCGAGATTGTTATCAGTATATTTTGTACAAGTTCCCGATAATTATGTTGTTAATCACTAACGCCTTTTTCACTTAAGCAAATTAACGCCATCTGGTATTATTATCTTGGTTGTTTTGCAGATTTTTGTTGATTCCATTATTTGTCCTGATTTTGTGTTGGATCCGGAGGAAGATTTGTCTTGGTCTGATGATGAGGAAGATGAGAAGGTCGATAATATTATGATGTTTTTAGGTGAGGGTCTGATTTTCAAGAATGACATGTTTGATGGTGGAGTTATCCCATCCCAGTTGAAATTGGCTTCAAAAAAACAAAAGCGTGGTGGTAAATCCAATGGTAGTCGCACTAGGAAAGCTGCCAAACTAACTAAGAACGGTGGTGTTAGGAGCAGACAAGAAAGACCTATCCCTGAGGAAGGCGGGAATTCAGGGGTTCCTTCGTTGGAGTCTATTTCCCTTTTGTTGGATGCCAAACTTGAAGGTCAGGCTAAAAAAATCATTGCCGCGGTGACTGATTGGTTCACTAAAAACACTGTTATTGAAGGCGAAACCTCGAAAGAGCCTGTCAGTGGGTCTACTCGTCCTAAGAAGGCTGCCAACAATGGTAACGATGGTGTTTCTAATTCTGATGGTCTTGGTTCCAATGGTGGTAATGATGATTTTGGATTTGATCCTCTCCGCTCCTCCCGTGGACATGCTCGGTCTCATAGCCGCGAAGGAACTTCTAATGTCGATGCCACTGTTGATGAAATTTTATCTTTCTACTCTGAGAAAGTTCCAACTGGTGTTGGTTGCAAGGAGGCGGGGGTATTTTTTTTTTTTTCTTATTAATTTCTGTTTTTGTGGGTTGGTGGCTAATTTCCTGATTATGGCTTTCTTTTTTGTTTTTAGGGGGAGAATGCTGTTCCAAGGGGTGAAGATATTCTCCATGCTGGCGATGTGGTCCAAAATTCTCAGGTGGGCGAGTATTCAATGGTGTTTTTTGGCTAAGCTATTTCATAGTTTAGGTGTTATTTTTAGTTAGATGCTAACTGTTATTTTATCATCAAATATACCTTGAGGCTTTTTTGTGTGTTTATTGTTTTATAACATTGTTTGTTAAATTTTTTTTTAGGGCGTTAACAACGTTACAGCTGATGTTGTCCCCCCCACAGAATGTGTTGATGAAGATAACCCCGAGGTTAGTTGTTTTGGTTTTTCTGGGGTAACTATTAGTAAAATGTGGGCGAGTTGTCTATGGTGATATTTGGCTAAGTTATTTCAGATATTTGGTGTTATCTTAGGTAGATGCTAACACTTACTTTTACCTTCAAACATACAATGACGCTGTGACTGTGTTTTATTGTTGTTTAACTAATTTTTGTAAAATTTTTTTAGGGCGGTAACAATGTTACAGGTCATGTTGTCCCACCCACAGACTCTGTTGTTGAAGATAACGCAGAGGTTAGTTGCTATGTTATAGTGGTATAACTGTTAGTAAAATGTTTAATCTATATAGTTGTTATTAATGGAGTTTTGTTAACCAGGTTTGCATTCCCCCCTCACTGTTTAATTTTTTTTTTTTTTTTTTTTGGTTCTAGCCGGAGAACAATGTCCCAATGGATGAAGATCTCCCCTCCCCAGGTCTGATTGCTCATCCGCAGGTAAGTTTGTAGGCAACGATTGTTAACTAAGAGATTAGTTGTTATGTCATTAGTTTGGTAATAGTTATCTTAGCATCAAAACATATAATGTGTTTTTGTTTCTTTTTCTTTCGTTGGATAACAATTACTGTGGTTATTTTGTTTTGCAGGGTGCTGACGTTGTTGCAGGCGGTGTTGAACCCACTCTCCAAGCTGGTGGTGGTGATAATTCAAAGGCAAGTTGTTACGTTTTAATGTGCTTGTTAACCTCTAACAATTATATTAACCTCAAACAAATAAATTCCTCCTTTTTTCATGATAACAATAATTGCGATAAATGTTTGTGTAGGTTGCTAACAATCCTTCTATCGACGACGACCTCCTCTCTAAACGAGTGGTCAACGAGGCAAGATATTAAAAATATTTTAGCGACAATTGCCCTCTATTTTATCGGCGTAATCAGCATCTTGAATTCTCTGTATTTTGCTAAAATTTTTTTCCTTTTTCTTTTTCTCTTTAGCGCGTTGAGAATGAAGCATTTATAACTCCCAACGATTCGATCGTTAACCAAGAGGTTATCTGTCATCTATTTATTGCAGTCATTACCTAATTAGTGCACTTATTTGTTTGTTGCCTGATTCTTAACATTTGTTATCGTTTGAATGGACAGGTTCAATGCTCTCAGTCGACGGGTGGCGATGTGGCCCCCCCGCCCAATGCTTTAGAGGAAAGCCAGGTAATAGATCAATTAATTTTATAATACAAGATAGAATATGTCTGTCTTTTGCAATTCTGTTTTCGCTGCTGGATTAAATTCATTTCAATTATTCCTTGCCCAGGGTGCCCCTGCGTCGGATGATGGTAGTGTTGGCGAGGAGACGTCTGTGGGGATCCCGGATATCTCGGTTAGCAGCTAAATTACAAAGCATATTGTTCCCATTTCCTTAGGCTTTTCTTTCCTCTTCTGTTCTACTCTCTTTGTAAAGGTCAATTTTACGGGTGATAACGTTATTAGGCACTAAACTATATATTTATTTTTGTCTTGGAATTATTTATAAGTTTTTTGGTGGTTTAAAATTTCAATTTGTATTATTCAGGTACTTATATTTATCAATGTATCCCTCTACGCTAGCCAACCTTAATCTAGATATGAAAGGTTAACGTACTAAGAGTCTTTTTAATGTCGCTGTTCTTTATTTTCTATGTCTATTTTTACTTAGTTTAGCCCTCAATCTGTTTGCGGTCTTGATGATGTTGGGAAGATTAGTTGTGAACCTCCCAATGACCCTGTTCGTGTGATACCTATTAAAAATTTAGTCATCCTGCAAAACCGGTCGTGTACTCATATTGTCTGTTTTGTCTTAAAAAATTTTGTGAATAAGGCTGCTCCGCCTTCTGGTGGTGGGGTTGTGTGTGATGGAGAGGCGGTTGATATTCCTGAGGCTGTTTCTATTGATATGGCAGCAACTAATGATCTGGTTTGTATTATCAGGGCCCTGACTTGTCATTTATCTGAAATTTTTTAATTATATATATCGAGTAGCCTTTAAATTTTTTATTACTCCCATTTCTTGTAGGGTGTTGGCCGGGGCGCACCTTCTTTTGTTGCCTCCCCACGCGAGGTTGTATTGTATTTTCTATGTGTTTGTTTTTGTTGTTAACTAATTCTTTACTCCCTATTAATCATTCATTGTGGCTGTTTTCTCAGGATTCTGATGAGGTATTATCTAATTGTTTAAATGCTATTGTTTTGGTTAGTAGTTAGTTTGTTTTTAATTATTTTCCCATTTCAGGATTTCACCACTCCTCCCCCTTCTAAAGTAGGGAAGGCTCCCCTCCAGGTTCATTTGATAATATTTAGTATCTTTGGTAGGTAAATCTCAAATTTTGCTCCTTTTCTAATTTAGTCCCCTCTCCCTGCAGGATGATGGTAATGCTAACGATTTGGATGGAATGATTGGGAGGAGAAGTAAAAGGGTCCGTACTCTTTCTACCAAGCTAGATGGTCGATTCCAGTATGAAAAGAAAACGAAGTTGTTAGTTGGTCATCCATCCCCTGTTATCAATCAAGCTAACATTTCCGTTGACCCTGAGGAACGCTTCCAAAATTCACTGAAGAAACTCAAGGCGATAAGGTATTGTGTATTCTGATATTTTTTTGTTTAGCCCATACAATGATTACCATTATATTTCCCTCTCGATAATTTTTCATATCATCTTGTTCTTTCAACAGTTCTATTAGCTTTTGTGGTGGTGTTGCTCTGTCTAATAAAGATATTTTGGATTTAATTGACCGGAAGAAAAATCTTTCAAGCAAGGTATCGTTTTTGTAAAATATATTCTATTGAGTGAGTTTTATATTTGGTTATTTCCTTTTATTTCAAATGTTTTTTTTTTCATTCCCCCAGGTTATGGATGCTCTCATCAAGTTTAGTCGTCATTTGTTGAGGACTGACGATGTTGATGGCGATAAACTTTGTGTTGAAGTCCTTGATTCAAAGTTTGTTTCTCTATTCTGCCGTCAATTCCCTAAGTTTTCCCGATGCCCGTCCAAATCGGAGTTCCAATTCCCACCGTCACTAACCGATCTCCTTTCCGGTGCTGGGGAGTCTGACCGTGTCCAGTTATTCACGGACGCTGATTACTTGTATCTGCCTTTTAACTTTGACAAGAAGCATTGGGTAGCTTTAGCTGTTGATCTTAAATCATGGAAGATCATTGTCTTGGATTCAAATACCCAACGCCGCAAAGATTCTGCTATTCAGGATGAGCTTATGCCTCTCGCAGTAATGCTGCCATACCTTTTCAAACAGGCTGCCTTCAATCCTCTTATGAGTAACTGTCTGCTGGATCCATTTTCTATAGAGCGCCCTATTATCATTCCTCAGGTTGCTTCTCCCCTTGATACCGGCATCTTCTCTATATTCCTTATCCATACTCATGCTACCGGGGGTGTGTCTGAATGCGTGGATTTCGAGGTTGGCGGCCTTCAAAGTGAAGTGAAAAAGTTAGTGTCGGCTTTAATCCTCGTTGGCGGTTACTAGCTAACTCTAATGTTATCGAAGTCCTTTTTTCAGTGGTGTTTATGTTCATCGGATCCTGTCTTCCCATTCTTCTTTATTTTGTTTAGGTAACTAGGATTTTATCCAAACTTGCCCCTTAATACATTTCGAATTGAACGTTTTATTGTCGTAGCTTCGTAATTTATTATGAGAAATTTAATACTCAATAAATTCTAAATTTTTGATGACTTTGTTCCGTCGTTAAGTAGGTTAACGGAATCCAAAACCGGGGTTAACTATCTGTTAATTGAGCCCACTCTCCAAGCTGGTGGTGGAGATAATTCAGAGTCAAGTTGTTACGTTTTAATGTGCTAACAATTATATTAACCTCTAACTATTGTTATCAGGAATAATTTCTTCCTTTTTCCCTGATAACAATAATTTCGATAAATGTTTGTGTAGGTTGCTAACAATCCTTCTATCGACGACGACCTCCCCTATAAACGAGTTGTTAACGAGGCAAGATATTAAAAATATTTTAACTACCAAAGCTGGTAGTTAAGACAAAATGACGCCGTTTTGTCTTAGCGGCTCAATTAAATCAAATCGAAGTCTCGTCTCCCCCAAAGTGAGAAACAGAAATCCCCAATTCACAAGAACCCTAACCCTTAAAAGAGAAATCATTCAGAATTGTTCTATTCTCGTTTCGGAAATTGATTGAGTTTTCAGATTGTGAGTCTTTTAACTTGATCTTCCGACTCCAAAGAGTTCAAGTTCAGGGTCATATGGTGCTGGCGGAGACCTCCATGGTTTTCCGTTGAAGTGTTCGTGTGGAATAGATGTCACGATCTTCACGTCGAAGTCTCAAGAGAATCCAGGAAGGCCTTTTTTCCGTTGTAAAACGAAAAGAGATCCGAAGTCGTGGACAAACAAAAGAGATGTAAGTAGAGTTGGTGTTTATGTTGTGTCTTTGTGTAGTTTAGTAGCTAAACTTGTCTGATTTGGTTTGGTTGTGCAATAGGGTCATGTGTTTAAGTGGGTTGAGGATGCTGTGTACGAAGAGGTTGAAGATGCTTTACCAAAATTTGGAATCATTGCAAACGAGATAAACCAAGTCAAATATGAGGTTAATGAGCTTAATGTGATGTTACAAGAGCTTAAAGATGAAGCAATCTTGAGCAAAAAGGAGATCCGCAAGTGGAAAGTGTGCTTGCAGATGTGTTTTGTGTGGCTTTGCTTGATCAGCATTGTCATTGTTTACATGATGCTTAGTCAGGCAAAGAAAAAGGAATTAACGTTGGTATTAGTTATTAAGAAGTTAACTAGGTAATAATAGACTCGTTATCGGATCGTGTATGTCGTTTTGATTAATTTTGGCGATTTCTGTTAGAAGGTTTAATGGGCTACCTTTTTAGATAGTCGTTATTTATTTTATCACCTAGCGTTTTTATCGTCTAGCACAGAAGCTGTCTTATAGCTCAGGTCATAGAGAAGTTGGCTCCCCCAGTGTTAGGATGTGTCAAAATGTGTCTAACGTTATTATCGTCTAACGTTATTATCATCTATCTCACATTTTTAGTTGTTTAACACTATGTGTCGAAATGTGTTATCGTCTAACGTTATTATCGGCTAACGTTATTATCAGCAAACCGTTACCCTTTTCTCCCGTAGTTTAAATTACTTTCAACTCGGTTGTGACATAAGTTGGCTCTCAGTTTAATATACATGTTTTATCGTATCGGGACAACATGTGATTTAATCTGTATATTTTTTAATGTCGGTAATTATTATTTTCGGCTAGTAGTTATATCGGCTAACATGCCTACCCATTTAAAGTTATGGGCTAGATTAAATTTATGACATCTCGATTTTTCTAATTTTCATTTTTTATCCCAACTGTTGCTGTGAATTAATCTTCTATCACGATAACTTACTTATCCGTAATTAATGTCGGTTAGCTAACTTTTGGGCATAGAGATTTCTCTATCATGGAAACACTTAATAAACATTGCCCATTATATTGAACATTTCTTCCCTAAATATGGATGGGATACGATAATTTTACATTTAGGGAACAGTAGCCGTACGTATGCACAATTAAAAAATTTCTGATCCCTTGAATTCCTTATTTATTTCACATAGCCAGGCCAATTTCTTTGTTAATCCTGACAACATCCATCCATCCCTTTACTCGCCAAAAAACGTCCTTCCTTCCGTTCTCTATGTACCCTGCATTCCAACGAGATATAGTAAATATTCCATAATTCATTTACTAATTGTTAAAGTATTTATTACCGTTATTGGGCCATTGCAGGTTGCCCTGTTATGACCTAATGACTTGCATCGTGAGCATCTTTTCCTTGATGTTCTCTACAAATGTAATAGAATGTTACTACCTAATAAGCTTAGCACATAAGAGAATTAGTACTGTTTATCACATATATAGTTCACGGTGGTTACCTTGAACTCGCCTCTTGAAAATAATCTTCGTTTCCTTGGGCGTCCAGGCGGTCTCCGAACATATGGTGGTGCCAGTTTCCCACCCCCTACATCATTTGGGGAAGGAGTCAGTGTCTCCGTGTCGGGTACCGGCATTATTAGCGCTTGGTAAGACAACCTAAGCTGGGGGTTGGTGTGATGGACTCCAACTAGCGTGTCCACTCTGATTCCTTCTTGTATTGCTGCCGCTATGGCATGAGAGCAAGGGATTGTTAGCAGCTGAAACTCCCTGCACGTACATGTTCTCTCCCATAGGTTGACCGCAAATGCTGCGCCTCCTTTTTCTCTAACTTCATATAGCCCTTCCCCAATCTTTATTACAGCACATCCTGCTCCTTTCTCGTAATTTTCGATTACCATATCGTTCACCTTTGGCGGTAGGATATTGTCCTCAAGCTGGGCAGCTTGCCTCCTAAGCGCAAGCCATGTCACGAGAGTTGTGCGGATAGACTCTAAGATTGAGATTACCGGGTAATCTCGAGCCATGGTTAACACATTGTTTAGCGACTCCGATATATTACTTGTCATGAAGTTATATCTATTTCCAACAAAATGGGATCTCGTCCAATGCTCAAACCCAATACCTGCCAGGTAGTCAGCGCATGGCTCATGTTTAGCCCTAATTTCAGCAAAAAGCCGGTTGAAATCACTTAGGCGATAAGCCCTCGCTGCACACGATACCAATGCACTTAGCTCCTCAGATTTAAAGTAAACCTCAATGTTCCTTTTCAGATGGACGATGCAAGCAGCATGAGATGACATTGGGTAAACCTGCGCAAAGATTATAGACGTTAGTGGATATCTTAGCATGCGTAATAGATATTGGGATAATTGTCTTTGTATCAGGTAACAACAATGTTACCTTGCGTATGCTGGCATAAATTGAGGAGTGCCTGTCAGACACAAACACCAACTCTGGATCATCTGGTATAGCTTCCGTCAGCTTAGTCATGAACCAAGTCCACGCCTCATCGTTCTCGCTGTTTACTATCCCAAATGCAATGGGAAACACTTGAAAATTTGCGTCTTGTGCACTAGCTGCAATTAAGCATCCGCCATATTGTCCTCGTAGGTGAGTCCCATCAATGACTATCACCTTCCTCATGTAAGCATACCCTTGAACACATGCATGAAGCGCAAAAAACAAGTACTTGAATCTTTCTATTCCAGAGTTATCCTTCTCTGTCTCCATTGCTACTAGAGAATTTGGATTAGTCTCTAGAAGTAGCTTGAAGTATGGTTGGATTAGAGCGTAACTCCCCATAGCTGACCCCATTGCATTGTCCATAGCTATTTCTCTTGCCCGCCAAGCTTTCCAATATGAGACGTTGAGGCTGAATTCCTGGCGTAGCATCCTTCTCAGCTCATTAGCTCGTGGTCCCCTGCCTACTCCAATATATTTTGTTCTCATTAACTTCCCAATTACAGCCGTGGAAGCTTGCTTGTGGAAGTCTCCTCTAGCATCCACGCTGCATGTGTGGTTTGGTGTTGTGCTTCTCACCTCGAACCGATCGCTATCTGCCAGCTTTGTTGCATAAACCCGCCACGGGCATGTATGGCTGACGCAGACAGCCGCCACAACATTAGGCCCGGATTTCGCGTATATGAAATGGAACTTCCGGCGAATCGCATGAATAGCTAATTTCGTTGCACAATCCTCTTTGGTTTTAAAAATCATGCCGATGTAAATGTCATCTCCTTCGTAATCAGCATCCTTTAGGGCTCGTTGGAGAGCATCTGAGAAAGAGAGGAACGACGCAACTGACATTAATAATAAATTCAGTCGTTAATTACTTTATTTTTCTGATATCGTAGTTAGTTCAATAACTTATTACTTATCACAAATGGATAAACTATTATTTAGTGCTCTAAACCTATTGTTACCTTCCTCCCCTGGATCGTCGAAATATGGGGGTGCATCTCTGTCATAGAATACCGTTCGAACGGGTGTATCCTTCGCGATCATCTCATTCCTCTGTACCTCGGATACTCTTGTGTTAGTTGATGGCATCCCTATTTCTTTAGTTGATAACCCGTCCTCTATCATGGTACTTTTGCCTTTATCTATCATTGTGATAGGTTGAGGATCCATAATCACAGGGCCATCAGGATCAGAGTAAAAGTGTCCCAGTGTTTCGTCACCTATAGTTTAAAGCATTTTATGGTTGTTTGATTGTTCATAAACAAAATAGCGGATAATATATTGATTATTCATTATACCTAATTGCGATAAGCTGTTGTTGTTCGACGAGTCACTATCCTCCATTAGGTCTTCGGTACTGAAAGAAATGCTTCTCGAAAGCGAGGTTGGCGTTCCGAAGGTTGAATCGCTTGAAGATAAAGCGACCACCGGCGGCACAACAGCTTGTGCTTCTGAACTCGCTAGAGTTAGACGCAAATCCGCATTTGGATCTCTCTTTGACTGGTCGCTACTTCCAAAATCTAGGACCCTCGCTGTTTTCTCTTTGTCGCCCACTTTTGTTGCATTTGTTTGAGTTCCACCTAGCGTCATTTGTGTTGCACACATCTCTCGCCACATTTCTTCTTGTTGGTTTTTTCGCCACATTTCAAATAACCGATCCCTCTCCCTCTCCTCGTTTTCAACAACTTTCTCTTTTCCCTTTAAGCTTGTAAATGCTCCTGGGTGTGTTACTTTTTTTGGCATCCCGCTAGTCCCGCCTGTAATTTCCATGTTGTCTCTTATGGTTACCCCTTCATACGTGTTGCGCTGCTCACCGCCTTTACTTATGTTCACCTCGTTCTCCTTCCCCATTGTTGTCATACTGTCTGCGTTACCTGTAACAGATTTACTATTAGTAGATAACCAATTTATCTACTAATTTTATTATCCGCCAATATTGTTGATTTAGAGCTGAAAATATATTCTTAATTACATTGTAATAAAACCTGTTAATATCATTAGCTTCTAATTCTTACTGCAATATATTTAGGAATTTAGTTATCAGTTGTTCACCTGAAATGTTACGCAGTAACATTCGTGTTAGCGCGGTTCCCCAGACAGCCCTCGTTTCTGCGCTATTCCAGTATTTATCGGATATTTCTTTTGAACTTAGGCCGCTTAGATCCATGTTACTCCGATAACTATTAACGTTTCGCTCAGTCCCACCTCGTATAATCCTGACCCGCAGATGGACTTCATCTAGATCGGCCCTTATCGCCATGAACAGAGTCATGTCCTCATCGTCTAATATGTCGATCGGGTTTGCACGTTTCCAATCAGGGCCCATCATCCACTGTGGCCACTGGTACGTTAACTCGATATCGTCTTCAGGACGCAGTGCTAACTTTTCTTTTACCGCCATAACCACTTTCGCAAACCCATCTTGCTCTCGCAGGCGTACTCCTAGTGCAAACCCATCCATATGTGAGACGTGTTCGAAAAAGCCGTTTTCATCTTTTTTCCATTCCCCAGGGACCAATCTCACCACGAACGCCATTTTTACCTGCTAGTGTTTTCAGCAATAAAAAAGTTGTTAGCGTTCTTGTTATTCTTAACTATGAAACCCTAAATTTTAAAAAATTCACTCTTCTGAACATCAATAATAAAGTACGTTATACCCAGATCTTTTACTTTTACCTTTATGCTTTGATGTCTCTGTGTGTTTATCTTTCTCTTGCATTAAAGATGTCGGAAGCTAAGCTATTTAGAGTGATAGAACTGGGTTGTTGCAGCAAAGAGGATATAGTGCTAATAAATAGACAAACGTCTATATTCGATATACCCGCAACCCAACATTTATCAGCTGCAAAGATTTACCGTATCTCTGTTTCCAATGCCGGCGGACGATATCTTCCAAGATATCCTCAACATTTAATGCTGCCGCACCTAAGCTATAACTGTTTTCGTTTTTTTGGTTTTGTAGGGGCTTTTTCGTCACAATTTATGTCGGGAAGAGAGAGGTTTAATTACCTAATCTTCATGCATAGAAACTTAATATTTTCATCCTCTGGGCATAGATATTAATATAGCCCTCATAATAATGTGCATTAATGTCAATAATGCATCGATCTAGTTTTAGATTCTATAAACGAAAGTTTTGTGCTTCAATTCCATGATGATTCTTTCACCATCCAAAAACAAAGATATTAGTTATCACGTACGAATTTTCAAACGGAAGACTTTTCCAAATCTCATGTCTTAAATATTAATTGTTAAGACCAAACAAAAAATGTTATAAATATTGTTCATCTGAATTCTGAAAACATGATAGATAATCCAATAAGATATTCCGACTAGCGCGTGGGTAAAGACGAGAGTGAGGAAGCGACGCGTGGAGGCGCGTAGGGATTTGTACGGTGGTGGGATGGCAAAATCGTCAAAAAGGAGAAACGCGTTTGCGTCACATAATTTCTCATACGTCGGGAAAAATCCAAAGATTAAGGACGTTCGTGGAACCTCCCAATATCCTCTGACGATCTGACACATGTCTTTGTTCCCTTTTAATTTATTTATTTTTTTGTTTTAATATTGAAACAAGATGATGCGATAATGGATACAAAAATTGTGACTTGCATGGAAAATATCTGTGTTTTGGTACAAGAGAAGAGACAAACTATATAAATAGTGAAACAAATACTTTAGTAACCTTTTCTTTTTATCTTCTTTGCGTTTTCAAAAGAAGTAAAAGAGTAAAAAAGATGTAAAAGCATGGAATTGTCTTCCCCTTTATAGAGGTGGCATCTCCTATCTATCACTTAATTAGTCGGAGTTAATTTATGTACAAACTTGAGGAACATCTTTTCAAATACAGATTTATTTCAGAGGTTTGTAAAATGTTCCCTCAAGGGAAAACTTGAATATTATTTGCCTCCTTCTCTCTATCTATCTTATGAATTTTTAAAACTCTACTTTGAAATTTCTAAGAAGAATATTTCCCATTGTATTTATTTTTATAATATTTATGGGTGGACAGGAGTACCATGTTCATTCACTTTGTCAGTACCCTTTTTTGGTCTTAAAAGAGGAGCTAAAGCCAAAAACTAATGTAAATTAGTGGCATAAAGATAAAAGCAAGCAAGCAACTTCGGTGAAGCTGCCTTAGATAGTTATGCTCGTGGCAACTACGATGAGGATTCCAGTTCTTCGGTACTGTGGCAACCACGCAAATTTCCGAGCTTCGCGGGTTCGGAATCGGTGTTTCTCCTTGCAACTTGGCCTTGACCGCTTAGCAGTGATCTTTTGCAATTTGAGTTGTAATGTTGTTTTTTATATCTCTGTAGATTGCTTTAATCTGTTTCAAGTTTTCCCTGTAATTCTGTCAAAAATTAAAATGGTATAAAATTTCACCTTTTACCAAAAAAAAAAAAAAAAAAACTTCGGTGAAGCTACAATTTATTCAGAAAGATAGAGGAAAGGCTTACGTAAGAGTAGGAGACGTAATAACTAATAATCATGGAGCCCCCACCACACACGGTTACTCATTCTTTGCTTTCTTCTTTAGTACAAACACCATTAGTTGATTCTTTAATATATTGGAAAAAATTGTTTTTATTGTGTCTCTGAAAACATTTTTTTGGTAATTAACGAGATCTCTATATATCGTGTTAAATTGTAATTTAGAGTTTCATTTGAGAGACATATAGTGGTAAATAGATATCTAATTCATCACTTGAACAGTTGAACCTCCATACATAAATGTAAAGCCACATCTTCATGATGAAATTTTGGGTGTTGGAGGTTTTATTTGAGAATTTGAGAATCAAAAATTGGATGTCAAAACAAATAAGGATATGTGTGGTCAGTGTGGAGGAAACAGAGACACAGATGAGGGAGACATTGAGCATGAGAAATTGGGAGTAAAGAAGAGGGAGAAAAGGAAAATGAGGCTAATTTGATATACAGTTTGGTGCATTACCTCAACGAAATACATGTTTTAAAATCTTGTTTTGGTTCATAGAAATGCATATTTTCAGTTTTTAATGTAAATTTAATGTTTGTCTCCCAATTTAACCATTTTCATTTATAACATAATTTAATGAAAGTGTTGAATACAATAATACTCCTAATAAACATGTAGGTATCTTGAAGAAACGGATGGAGTATCTCTAGACTCTAAACAACACTACTAATGATGATTTAATCATGAGGTCATCAAGTGAGAAGAGGGGATGTAACTGAAACACATATTCTCTCCTCACCTACTAAGTACCATTAACTTATTTTGAATGACTTCTATTTTACATATAACACTCTTCTCTTATTCAACTCAATCGTGGATCATGGCTCCAGATGGTTCTACCAAAATCATACTACTCGTCTCTCTGGAGGTTGAGAGCAACAGACATCATAATACATCAAGTGGAAACAAAAAAATGGACCAAGTTTACCTTATGAGGCATTTTCTTTTCTTTACCTTAAAACATTCTCCCACCCCTATACCATCCTTTGCTCTCCTCTGATCTCTGCCCTGCCTTTCCCTCCGAGCTCCTTGACATCTTTACACTTTTCGAACTCGATTTGACTTTACCTCCTGTTGTTGTTATAGTGCTTCTCCCTGATAAGCTCTCTTCTGCTGAATCCACCCTCTCATACTCCTATAGGAGATATCAAAGTTTAAAGCCATTGTGAGCCAATGACCAACAACCAGAGCTCTGACTCTCAAGGCTAAGAAGTAAGTACCTTGGGCTTCTTCTTGGTATAAGGGGTTAGGCATGGATTCAGATCTTCCAGAGCTAATCCATCAGGGCTACCTGAGCTGAATTCCTGATATGCATGCAATTATTATAAGAACAATGACAGTACTCAGACTCTCAAAGTTGCTACTTTTGATCCTATTATGCTTACCAGTGAATCATAGGAAGAAGTCTGTGCTTGCCAATAACAGCTTTCTGACAAGTACTTGTTCGCCTTCACCTGATAAGAAAGAGTGATACCAGATTCTTTTTTAAAATATACTCAGAGCTATATTGGACTGTTGCTGCAGCAATGCCCTTAATAAACTTCCCAAGAGTTAAAAGTGGGTTTCCATTATACTCAGATTCTAAGAAGTCCCACAGGCTACAATGCTATGCACTAATTAAAGAGAGTAAAAAAGAAACAAAATTACCTCAGCAAGGTCTTGAGCAATGCATTGAAGCTGGCCATTGAGTGAAATGACCTGCTTTTGAAGGTTAGGGATGATCTGTCTCGCCTGATTCAGCTCCTGCATTTGGCTGATTTGGCTGTTCATCGCATCCGGAAACAGAACTGCACTCTTCAGTGACTTTATCTCCTCCCTTTGCTTCAGACAAAGATCCTTCAACTTCTCCACCTGCAAAAAACAGCTTAATTTGATTACAAAAATTTTTATTCTAGATTTCACCCAGCTAATCTAAATCTAACCTGTTCTAACACAGGACACATTCCAAAACCCTAAAATGACTAAACCAAGGTTTAAAGAGAGGAAAAAAGATTTTACTTCTCTGTTCTTATCTTCAAGCTGCAACTTTAGCTCAGCGATTTCAACCTCCTGGTCCTTGTTCATGCTAAGAAGCTCCCTCTCGCTTCGTAGAACCATAGACAATGTCCTAGTGTTACCCTTAACCTCTGTCAATGGCTTCACCTTCTCCTTCCCGAATAGCTTCCTCTGCAATGTTCCCAATGTGCTCTTTCCTCCTTTACCAGTATCAATTTTCTGCAGTTCCTCGGGAATCACAAGCTCGACCCTCTTGCTCTTGGAATTAGATTTCTTCATCTCCATCAGCTTCTTCATCATATAAGTGAGGTTTCCAGGATTATTATCAGGATTTACGGGTTTCGTTGTTTTGGTCAAGTAGGAAGATTTGGATCTGACAATGGCTTTGGATGAAACTGGCTTGTTCGATTTGAATTCGGCGGAGGAAGATAGATCTGAGTGAATCGAGGAGGTTACCGATGATCTAGAATCGTAGGAATTGTAGCGAGATGCCATTTTCGATGGAACGTTCGAAGAATTGGTATTTGTTGCAGAGAGGATAGGATCTGTAAATTTGAAAATGAGGAAGAAGAAGAAGCAGAGGGAATTTGGTTTTTTTCCTCTTTCCAATGTCCCACTCTCTTTCTTTTCAAATTTCGTATCCTTGTCTCTGTCTAAAATGGACTTTTTGTGTCTCTATTGGGCCCCAATTATGGGCTTATAAAGGTTAACGGCCTTTTTGTGTGTTTATTTGAATTTTGTTTTTTTTTTTTTTTTTTTTTTTTTGTCAAATTGAATTTTGTTTGTTTTTCACTTGTTCTGGTTATTCAAATAATTAATCTCACTAATGAGATAATTAATCATTTGCTTTAGAAAGATATAGCACCAATATAATGTGATGGCTTTCTAATGAAATGCACATATCCATTACGGAGATGAGATGGTTGTGGATTGAGTAGAGTTTTGTAGAACAATTTCTTTGAGCCCCATAGTTTTCAACTTTGAGCTTTCTTTACTTTTTGTGTAGTTTCGTTCTAATTTAGATTTTTTTTTTTCTTTACTGTGAAATGACAGATACATAGTGAAGACTTTCATGTTCCTTTTTTGGGGTTAATCTAAGAACAATTTGTATTTTTGTGGGCAGTAGATAGAAAGAAGTCGATTTGGGGCATAGAGGAAAAGATGAAATGATTGAGGTTGGCGTTAGTCCATATAGAACCAAAGTCTAATAACAGTAAGCCCTTACATACATGAAACGCTGCGTTTATGTAGCTCACCTACTATTGCCTCTTGCTAAGATAGAAATAAATGACTTAAGATGTTAGTTAGGTAGGTGTCAGACCAAATGAAATGGAAGAGCCGAAGAGTAGTAGTAACAATAAGGACTTAGTTAATAAGAGTTATAATGTGAATAGAACACGTCACTGGACTAGTATGTGTATGAGAAGTTCAAATCTTTAACTCACAATATCGTCGAAGACATTTGTTTAGGATATGATAGAAACTAAATGAGCATTTAAAATTTGAAGAAAACGGAAACTGTAGAGTTGCCTTGGCAGGAGGGGAAAGCATTATCATGAAGAATCTGGTCTACAAATATGGGAAATGGACAGATGTATCTGTTCACCACCAATCCATCTTCATAACTCAAGTGGTCCCTTTCTCTCGACCCATCCACGTCTCCTTCCTCACAAGTAAGACCAAATTTAGCCACCATTTGGTTTCTGTCATCTTCTCTTTAATTAATGCTCTCTTTTGTTCTCTCTCTATAAACACAACAAGACATGAAAGGTTTTTGGGAACTTGTCTGAGTTCCAATGCGGCTGCTGCTATCATCTGATCCCCAACCCGAACTTACGTCTACATGTACCTCTCAGAGTTGCGGCTGGAAGCCTTACTCTCATTCAAATGACTTTGCTGCCAACGCGTTCCTCCTTCTCATCATCCTTTTCTGTTCTTTCATATGCGTCCTCTCTCTCCACGCTGCCATCCGTTGTTGCCTCCGTCCAGTCCTCCAACATGTCCCTAAGCCCGACCCGGATCTTGAGGCCACCCATCCGGACGCTGCCCCGACACTTGTCTACTCCCCGGGCCTAAACCTAGCAGGCAATGAAGCAGAGTGCATCATTTGTTTGTCTGAATTCCAAGACGGTGACACCTTACGCGTGTTGGAGAGATGCAAACATGGATTTCACGTTCATTGCATCCAGCAGTGGCTGTCCTCCTCCCATTCCTCTTGTCCCACTTGCCGGACAAACATCTTCTCCACCCCACCTCAACTTCACTCACAAAGCTTACCACTAACGAGTACATCTTAGTCATATGGTAGCTTCCTGGTCTTGCCCACTTTTTTACTCTTTATTTTTCTTTACCACTTCACACCTCTATCATGTTTTCCAAGTTAGTTTTAATTTGTTACCTTTGTCGTTTTAAATTCCATAAAATCATAAAAATTGCACACACTCTAAAATTGATGTAAAGTCACTTCTGTGAATCATATATACAATGCAAAAAAAACTAAAGACCAATGTGTAACGAAGCAATAACATTACCTCATAATATAGAGGGACCAAAGGCTTTATTCAATGTCGGAGTTCAAGAAATATGAGGTCTTGAATGGTGTTAACTTCCCACTTTTTGTCGCTACTGTTCGAAAAAAAAAACAAAAGGTCCTCTTGTATAATTCGACTTGTTCATTTTAGTTGTTGACAAGAAAGTAGACTCTCACTCTGTTGTAGATTCTTGTTATGAGGGTAGGATCGTGTTGTCGAGCGAACACGTAAGTAAAAATAAAGAGCTTGTTAGTGTGTGAACGCAAGCAACCAACAGTCCGTTTTTGAACGAGTCAAATTGAGACAAGTCAAAGCTTATGACTTTGAGTGGACACTGGACAGAACTTGTAACTTCTTTGACGATTCTCAACAATTTTATAACATCAAGACACGACTCTTTCGCTCTCTCTCTCCATAGAAGAAGACGAAGAAACAGAGAAATTAATAGAAGAATCGAGAGAGAGTGAGACAAATCTAGTGATGGGTTGCGACTCACATGGCAATCTAAGCGACACAGAGTTCAGCAAGCCGTTGCCATCGATAGGTGTATACGTTGCTGCAGCTTCAGTGATCTGTGGAGTTGCCATGTTTTCCGATCTTCTTCACGGCTTACGCCACCGTAAGTTCTGGTTCCCTTGCAAATTCTTCTCTCTCAACGCTACCACTCTCACCTTTATCTCTGTCTGCGTCAAACTCTCCTTGGATCTCAACACTCCTATGCCTAGTCGCCAAGATCAGCTTGCTAAACTCAGTAGCAGCGTCTTCGTCTGCACTGTGATGGCTAATTCCATGCCTTCTCTTGGTTTCATGGTCACACAAGATCTCCTCATGAACCTCGTGGCTCTTGGGATTCTAGTTATCACTGATGTTGTTAACATCTGTATCCAATTGGGTACAGGAGCTATATACGTTTTTACTCAAGAACACGCTCTCGTCATTGTTCTGATGCTTTTGATGTTTATGATCTTGAGTTTCTCTGCTATCACAGTCCCGGCCACAAAGCGTTTCTTAGAGCTTAAGTACAAGAAGAGATACGAGTTTGCTTTGAAGCAGTGTCCTTCGTATACAGAGAGAAGGAGAGGGGTTCCTAAGCTTAAAGAAGATCTGATGAAATTCTGGATGATGGCTCACACTTCTAGCCCTCAGTTTGTGATGGCTCGCTCTGTTACTTGCACCACCTCTGGTTTCCTCTGTTTCTTGAGCGCAATTACATTGGCTGAAGCCATGGTCCGTTCTTACTTTCTTCAAACTCGGTCACTTGGGTTCTGCAATGGAGATTCTGATTACAAATGGTCAACCGCTTTGGTTCTAGTCTCCCAAACAGCTGCAGTAGCCATAGGAACCGTTGCTCCAGCGAGCAGATGGTTGAAAGCAGTGAACTTGAGGTGTCCATTTAGAACAAAGAAATCTTTGAAAGATGAGTTGAGAGTAGAGAGTTATTGGGTAGAGTGTCTCGCTGAGAAGAAAGAACGTCCTTTGAACTTTTGGATGCTCCATGGTCGCCGCAGCAGGAAGCTTGCACACGACTTAAACCGGTTGATGCTTGATATCTGCATTGCAACACAGTATGGTATAGTTCTGTCTAGCAAGTTTCTCCGTTTCATCACGGTCTATTGTTTGAGTAGAATCTTGCTATGTTGTTTTTATTTCACCTACAAAAGTGATTCTGTTGCAAACGCTGAGTCCTCGGGTTCAAATCCATCAACGAGACAATTCGTCCTGCATCTTGAAGGAGAGGAGGAGATGGTGGATTACATGGCACGGAGCAACCGTGTGGCCACAGACCACTTGATACAAAAAGGTCGGAAGAAACAACCCGTAAACTTGATAGAGCTCTTGGAGGCAACAACTCCCATCTCAAAAGGATTTGAAGGGATCCGAGACTTTGACAGCGACGAGGTCGCTTCTCTGGCCTCTGGAGAGCCACCTAATAGTTGGGCCCTTCCACTGGTAACACTGACGAGTATCGCTGTCGCTCTTCCTAACATCAAGCCTTACTCACTGAAGAAGTTAGTGAAAGCTGTAAACGAAGCATTGGTCTATGTCAACAAGTTCGAAGACGTCTTAGACATCGGAGGAGAGTTAGCTAACAGCAGGAAAGCTGCAGAAGTAGTTTGGCTAGGAGTTGATCTCTACCATAAATGGCTCAACGTGGATCTTCGAAAACTATCCAAGCAACAAAGCAAAACACCACAAGAAGTTCTTAAAGAGCTGGTAGATATAGCAAAGAAAGAGTTTACAGAGTCATGGGAGAAAAACCGTATACTATGCATGAAGCATAAGCCCTCTCAATGGCCCATCAAGACTCAAGCAGCAAACTCAATGTACCGAATCAGCCAAACTCTTTTGATGAAGTACGAATCAAGAAACATTGAAACAGAGGAGACTCTGTTGAAAGATGTGGAGAGGATGGTATCGGACATAGTTTCAGGATGCTTTTGCAACACGGCACAGGTAATAGGAATGAAGTGTTTGGTTACAGCAGTGGAAGTGAGAGAAGCTTCCGTGAGAGAAGCGGCAATGCATTTGGGGAGAACAGAGAAGATACTTGAGATTGTGGACAGAAGATGCATGCCTGCCTTGTCTCATCACAAAGTGGCTAAGATTGATGAATGGAGAGAGTTTTATAGGACCAATAAATCCATCTCTTTCACTCATCCTTCGTCTCAGTGTACCACCCGTGAACTCATTCTAAATCTAGAATAACACATTCTGACAAGTTTAAAGAATTAATTACTTTTTGTACATATATGATAAAACCAAATTACTAGGCTACTAGCAAATAATATCCTTTCTTTGTCGGTTGATTGACTTAGCTTTCTTGACAAGCAAAAACTACTAACACTTTTTGATGTCAAACTATTAAAACTTGATGCCAAGTTTAAAGAGTTGAGTACCTTTTTGTTCATGATCATTAAAACCCCGTTTAGCAATAATAAGCTTCCTTTGTCGGTTGATGCAGAAGTCAAACTAACGAAGTCGTCAACTTTGCTTTGTTGACAAGGCAAAACTACTCTTCCAAAACATTGATCTTTCTTCCGGATATTTGCAATAACAAGTCTCTACACCAACCCAAGTTGTCAACAGACTGCTTTTGATTTGTGGAGTATTATTTTTAAAGCATTGTTGAAGTTTGAGGATTTCTTATTATTGCTAAATGGTAAAACCACCTTGAGGGAAAACAAATGATAAAACAGTGTATTGCTTCCTGTTTCCGACCAGAAAAAAACTAATTTAAATTTAAAGTACAAATCAAAGATTCAAATGTCAATTAATAATTACAAAATCTCTAACCTTAAAAAAATATCGATATCAATCCTAAATCAAATTATTTTGTAATCGATTTGAAGATTTTTTTTTATCGATTTGGGGTTATTAAGCTAACGAATACGACATCGTATAGATTTAACCGATTATTCAAAAGTCAAATTTCATAAACTTTTTTTTTCTTCAGATTGGAATATTTGTGTGTGGAATGAGTTTTGATCGCAAGATTTTTCTGTTAACGAAATTTAATCCCGTTAAATTATTCCGTTTTACGATTTAAAGACAGTGATTAAAATGGTATGGTCAATGAAAGTTGAGTATTAATTTGGTAAATCAACAAAAATTCACTATATATTTTATTACATCCTAATAATATTTTTTCCAATTCTTATTATTGCTATATGGTAAAACCATCTTGAGGGACAAAAAATGATAAAACAGTGTGCTGCCTCCTGTTTCCGACCAAAAAACTAATTTAAATTCGCATCGAATCATTTGTCAATTAAAAGTACAAATCAAAAGGTTCAAATGTCAAACAATTTTTAATTTTAATAATACATTTTAAATTTTAAAAATCAAAGGACAAACATGTAAAGACCAAAAAAAGTGATGCAGTGATGTTCGTCATTTCTCCTTTAAATACACTTCCCACTCACACGGTCACACGGTCAAATTCGAAGAAGAAGAAAGAAACAGAAGAATCATCAAATCAAATCAAATCCCTAAAAATTGATCTGCAATGGAGAAAAACGCATCGACTTCATCGTTGAAGGACTTGGGTCCAAGTGGTCTAGATCTAACCAGCGCCTTTTTCAAACCGATCCACAACTCCGATCCTCCTCTCCCTTCAAACCGACGTACCAAAGTCTCCGTCGTCGGAGTCGGTAACGTCGGAATGGCCATCGCTCAAACCATCCTTACTCAAGATCTCGCCGACGATATCGCTCTCGTCGACGCTAAGCCTGATAAGCTTCGTGGCGAAATGCTCGATCTCCAACACGCCGCTGCTTTCCTCCCTCGAACCAAAATCACCGCTTCCGTTGATTACGAAGTCACCGCTGGATCTGATCTTTGTATCGTCACTGCTGGTGCTAGACAGAATCCAGGCGAGTCTAGACTCAATTTGCTTCAGAGGAACGTCGCTCTCTTCCGCCACATCATTCCTCCACTCGCTAAAGCTTCTCCTGATTCTATCTTGATTATTGTTTCTAATCCTGTCGATGTTTTGACTTACGTTGCTTGGAAACTCTCTGGTTTTCCGGTGAATCGAGTTCTTGGATCTGGTACTAATCTCGATTCCTCTCGGTTCCGGTTCTTAATCGCAGATCATCTCGATGTTAATGCTCAGGATGTACAGGTCAGTTCCAACCAAAATCAGGGATTTTGTGATAAAGCTGTGCTTTTGTTTTGGTTAAATACTGCGATTAAGGAGTGACTAGATGGCTTTTATGGTTTAGTATGATAAAAATATATGCTTTAGTGGTTTAATACTGCAATTAAAGAGTGATCAGATGATAATAGCTCCGATGATGATAATGTATTGTTGAGAAGATCAATTGGAGAGTAAAAGTGGGTTTTGTTTGTTTGGTTGTTGCAGGCATATATCGTGGGAGAGCATGGAGACAGCTCAGTGGCATTGTGGTCGAGCATAAGTGTTGGAGGCATTCCTGTCCTAAGCTTTCTGGAGAAGCAACAGATAGCTTACGAGAAACAAACTCTTGAGGACATCCACCAAGCTGTAGTTGGCAGCGCCTATGAAGTGATTGGACTCAAGGGTTACACTTCTTGGGCCATTGGGTACTCAGTTGCTAATCTGGCTCGCACCATTCTTCGTGACCAGCGCAAGATCCACCCTGTCACGGTCCTTGCTCGTGGCTTTTATGGTGTTGATGGCGGTGATGTCTTCCTCAGTCTCCCGGCTTTGCTTGGACGGAATGGTGTGGTTGCTGTGACCAATGTTCATATGACTGATGAAGAGTCTGAGAAGCTGCAGAAGTCGGCAAAGACTATATTGGAGATGCAGAGCCAATTGGGACTTTGAAAATCCACATCTATATGCTTCAATCTTATAACTATTGTTTTGTTATGATCATTACCCCACGGGTGATTGTGTCAATGTTGATCTCTATATGTTATGTAAATGTTGTTCATGCAGAATAATCCCAACTTTGAGTTCTCTTTTGAAATAGGGTGTTGGTCACAACACACTTGAGTGTGAGTTAGATCAGTCGACACGGTTGACAATATGAGGCTTCAGTGACTGTGTAAGGGCATCATTAATGGGGGATCATGTGAGGGTGTTCTTATAGAGAATATAATGTTAAAATAATGTAAGATCATGTGTTTAGATCTTTTGTTTAGAAGTTGATTAGTGGGAGAACACACACATCTTAAGACTTAATAATATAATAATTTAAATTAAATTAAGATTTTACAATTATTAAAACATTTAAAAATAACATATAAATTGCAAATGCCAAATTTATGAAAAACTGAAAATAAAAGTGAAAATACAATACTAAATATTTATGAAAAAAACATTAAAAATATAAATAACAATAAACAAACAAACATATTACTTAATAAAAGCACAAAAACATTTTATCTAATTAATACATAGTTTATTATCCAAATTTATTCCAAATATGTTGAATATTCCAACCAATGCCCAAATGCCACGTCACCCCGCAACACCCACAAGAACAGATCCAGGTCAAGAGCCCAGTTCCTGATCTTAAGCCCATTGACCCATTTTTTTGGATTTAAATAATGCTTAGATCAGAGGGGTGATCCCCCAATGCAGATGGTCTAATGCAGTTACCAGTAATGTGAAAATGATTATGTGTGTCAAATTCAGAATGATACAAAGTTAAGATATCAATCCTCTGATTTTTGGCTTTTCAGGTTATTCTTTTGCCACGAAAATGCCATATTCTATTCATTTAAATGTCGCGAAAAGCCTTCCTTACGAGGAAAAATATCATTCCTCTTGCTATATGGCTAGCAAGGCAATTCACACAAACACTAATACAAGAGATATGATGAATAGAAAAAGAAATGGAAAGAGGTTTTAAGTTCCTAATATCACCTAAGTACCGAAGAGGATTTTGGCGCGAAAATGCCCTCTTTGCGTGTTATTGCGCCTATTGCAAGGTAATCGGGACAAACATTAATATATCGAGAAATAGGAGGAATAGAAGAAAAAAGGAAAGAGGATTTTAAGTTCCTAATAATCTAACATCATGAATTCCGATGACTTTTGGCGCGAAATTGCATTATCGCGTTATTGCGTTAATTGCAAGGCAATCGGCACAAACATTAATATATAGAGAAAAATGATGATAGAAAAAAAAATGGAAAGAAGTTTTAAAGTTCCTAACAAGCTAACATCATGAATACCAACAATGATTTTGGCGCGAAATTGCCCTTTTTTCGTGATATTGCGTCTTTTGCAAGGTTGTCCGCACAAACATTAATACATCGAGAAATAGAAATAAATTGTTTTTTTTTCATGAAAGAAATTCGTAAAATCATCAAGTTCCAGATTATTGTGATGAGGTTATCTTTCTTATAATTGTTAGGAGTAACTTAACAGCTTGGTGTGGGTGTGACCATTATTACTTATGAGGAGGGCCAGGAGGCTATGAGCATTGAACCCCACCAACCTAAAAAGAAGGCCAGGACTCGTATAGTAAAATGTTTGACAATCAAACCAAATAAGCAAAGAGATCTCTCGCTCTATCTGAAAATCTCAAAACGGAGAACGCGAGGGAACAAGAGATTAAAGCATAGTGAGACCCTAAGAGAGAGAGAGAGCTTTAGGTCTAGAGAGAATCAATCACACAACATAAACTACGATAGGATCGTGCGCGTCAAAAGAAGGTGGTACTGCTGATTCCACCCGAAGATTAGTCTCCGCTTCTGGTTGTTCCGGTGGAGACTCGGCGGACATGAGAGGTCTTTTCAAATCCAAACCGCGGACTCCCGCTGATATTGTTCGACAGACTCGCGATCTCCTCCTCTATGCCGATCGATCCAACTCTTTCCCTGACCTTCGAGAGTCCAAACGCGAGGAAAAGGTTTTTCCTTTACTTCCCTCAAATCTGAAATCTGAAAACTTTCTGATCTGATTCAATTGATTGAATCCTGAGGTTTGATTATCTGATAATTGCTTGTAGCTGGTGGAACTAAGCAAGAGCATACGAGATTTGAAGTTAATTCTCTATGGAAACAGTGAGGCTGAGCCTGTTTCTGAAGCTTGTGCTCAGTTGACTCAGGAGTTCTTTAAGGCTGATACTCTTCGCCGCTTGCTCACTTCTCTTCCTAATTTGAACTTGGAGGTAACATCTCCTCTCATGATTCAAATCCAAAGATTTCTCCTGCAACTGTTCAATAAAGGAATTGTTAATTTTGTTTAGGCCAGGAAAGATGCTACACAAGTTGTTGCAAATCTTCAGAGGCAACAAGTCAATTCACGTCTTATTGCTGCTGATTATCTTGAATCCAACATTGATCTTATGGATTTTCTAGTCGATGGGTGAGCTTAGGAGATGATATATTGCATTATGCATTTCGTTAATGGCTTCCGAATTAAGATCTTAATCATGGGGTTTGTTTTATCATTCATATGGGTTTCTATAATCTCTCTCAGGTTCGAAAACACTGATATGGCGTTACACTATGGTACTATGTTTAGAGAGTGCATCCGCCATCAGATTGTTGCAAAGTGAGCAAATTTTATATTTTCTATATCTATATGTTTTATCCATAAAGAGACAATCTTCTACCGGATTTATATGTAGTAGAAGCAGTTTACTAGTGGTTTTTTAGTCGTGTAATGAAAATTGCTTCTCTTTATGATTCAGATATGTTTTGGACTCGCAGCACGTGAAGAAGTTTTTTTACTACATACAGCTTCCCAATTTCGACATTGCTGCTGATGCTGCTGCAACTTTTAAGGTTTGGGAACACTGGCAACATATTTGGAGTTCCCTTACAATCACGATCTGAGTATTTCTCTAAAACACGCCATCATAACTCCAGTTCCGTGATTATTTTCTTGCAGGAACTTCTGACAAGGCACAAGTCTACAGTTGCTGAGTTTCTCATTAAGAATGAAGACTGGGTAAGTTCTCTTACAATGTACCAAATCATAAAATTTTGCTTGAGAGAAAACGTACATGTATCATCTCTGACAGTGCAGAACCAATCTGGTATGACTCTCAGCTGTTTTGATTTACAGTTTTTTTCAGACTACAACTCAAAGCTTCTTGAATCAACTAATTATATTACCAGACGGCAAGCTATTAAGGTAGGGTAACTTGTACTAGTGATGATATCACAAATGGTTAATCACGAAAAAGATATCAGTGACAGAGCATTCTGATGGATTGTAGTGTGTAAAATTTTACAGTTGTTGGGCGATATATTATTGGATCGGTCAAATTCGGCTGTGATGACGAAGTATGTGAGCTCGATGGATAACTTGAGGATTCTGATGAATCTTCTCAGAGTATGATGCTTTATCCGATACCCCATATGATTTATTCTTAAGAGCCAGACAGAGTTAATTATGGAAATAAACTGAAACCTGTGGATGTAAAACTCTCTTGCAGGAATCAAGCAAGACTATTCAGATAGAAGCTTTCCATGTTTTCAAGGTATCTTTCTTGTACTCTAAAGACATGGAGTAAATTTACCCAGTTAAACATAATCATCAGTCGGACACTTTGGCAATTGGATTTTGAAATATTTCCGTCTTTATGTGATTGTAGTCCGATTTTTGATAACACAAAAGTTCACTGATACTGTTGTTTCTGTGCAGTTGTTTGTAGCAAACCAAAACAAGCCTTCAGACATCGCCAACATTCTGGTGGCAAACAGAAACAAGCTTCTGAGATTGTTGGCTGATATCAAGCCGGACAAAGGTATGGGACTTGTGTTATGAGGCTCTTGTATCACCAGAGAATGGATCTGATTCTCACCTTAAAACTAATTTCAAGTATGATTCATATCTGTTTTGTGGCAGAGGACGAGAGGTTTGAAGCAGACAAAGCTCAGGTTGTGAGAGAGATTGCAAGCCTTAAGCTGCGAGAGCTTGCTTGAGCATGCACATATACACAAAAGCTCATGCTTTCTGTTTAATCTTTGAAAGACCTTTTTGGACCATCAAAGATTGTTGTTATTTATTAGGTACTGTTTCTCTTTCTCTCTCAGCGACTAATTGACTGGTCTGGATTTTTTAGTTCATATGAATTCACATGTACACACTCCTTTAGTGTCGATCAAATAAAATGGCATTATAATTACTACATCCTGAATGTAAAAAATCATAAATGCATGTGGGCACCCGACATGAAACCTATTGAAAATGGATAGATAAGCAGAAAAAATAACACTCTCTCTATGCACAAAGAGAAAAAGAAGCAAGTCTATTGCTAATCTTAAGCATACTGTGACCGAGAGCCGTTGGATGCTCCATGCTGAGCCGTTTTGGCCTCCAGTTTCCTTCTCTTAATGACTACATACCAAGTGAAGGCTTCGAGTACGGTGGCCACAATGGCGAGAGCAACAATGATACCAATGTAAGCATTTTTCCACTGCTTCTTGGGACTCAATATGCCTAGCCCTTTGAAAACGTTAACCACCCCTAGGATGATTATAGTGTAGCCGATCGTATGGTGGTAAATGTTCCAGTAGAGCCTATGCTTGTGCTCTGGTTTTGGCCTCAGAAACATCGCAAACACCTGATGTTTGCAAAACAAGCGATTAACCGGTTTAGAAAGCTATATATTTTACTGGTTTTCCTTTTGATGTGAAGTGTGTAATGTACCTGAACTGTCGCTAGAGAGAAGAGAGCGATCCCGATAGCACGGTGGGTGCTATACTGAATTCCTGGAGAGTCGCCACCGAGTTTGAGACCTGTGGCCCATCCGGCAACACCGATGATGTAAGCAGAAGCCTGGCAGAAAACGTGAATGTAGAACCAAGCAGGGTCTGCTGATTTGGCTACTCTCAAGTATCGAGCAATGATTGCCCCTATTGGCATCATGATTCCCCAGCTCACTCCGTTCAAAATTCCATGAATCTGTCCACCAATGTTACCAAAACCAATCATTATTCTCTGTTGGGACCAAATAAAAAATTAGGAAAAAGAGATGTGTCCACAGAAGAATCAACTCACGTTGCGTTTTCGAAGCTTGGAACTTCCTCCAGCTCCTCCAGCAGCTGCTGAAACACCGGAGACCAGATTGAGAGTGGACAGGGATCGAACATTGTTGCCAGAAGTTGGATGAGGCAGAAGGCTGTTCCCAGACATTGACCCATCTTGCCACACTGTGTTAATGGTTCCACCATTCCCAAGATCCTGTGAAAGCTTCAGACTTGCCAGCACAACAATCTCATTGTTCTCATAAGTTGCAGACAACCCAGAGACGTTGAAACTGAGATCACCCTCTTGTAGGCTCGTCTGGTAGCTTCTGATGGGAGATGTGTAAACCCTGACAGTACCATCTGTTTGTGGATAAGCCACGATGGCTTGAGCTCCCACCATTCCCGTAGACGTTGGGTTCACGGCCCAAGCAACCCATTTGCCAGAGGTGAGCTTAGTGTGGCGATAAGCGATGTGGAGGCTCCCGGTGGAAGACTCGTAAGTGTAATGGAGGAAAGAATCAAGAAAAGGGAGGTCGTTGCAGGAGTCAAAGACATTGTTGCTTGAGAACTTGTAGTTAGAACATGTCTGAGCAAAGGAAAGAGTACTACTCATGGATATGGAAAGGACAAGCGAGAGACAGAGGATTTGATTCAAGAACTTCATCATTGACACCATAGACAAGAGGGTTTGTAAGAAAAAAAGACTCAGATGTAAGAGAAGGAGATAGTTGAAGAAAGAAGAAGGAGAAAAAGTGAGATTAAATATGAAGAGGAAAGTGGGGTTAGCTTTGTTGGTTAAGCTGTCTAATTGAGATCATAACTTTTCTCTTTTCTTTTATGATCAAATTATGCTTAGCTTGCTAATTTGCTGTTTTTTTTTTGGGTCTAGTGTGAAGAAATGTTTTATTTATTACTCCATTAGCTGCATAAGTGTGTGATCCATACAACATTAAAAACAATGGCTCATTACACAAGAAATGCAACAATAATGCTCGTTGACTTAATCACAGTTATTTAGGTAAAAATAATGAGGAACAAAACTTGTTTACAGAGGATATAATTAATGGGTTAATAATAATGGTAATTAAGGGTCAACAACAACCGGTTCACACCTGTCTCGCCTGCCTTTGTATCTACCAACTTCACTCTCTCTCTCTATATACAACTACTATTGGGTAGCATCTTCAACCTAAAAGTAAAATCATTGATATTTAGAGCTTACTTTGTTTGGTTTTATTGTATTGTCTTTTACTTACACTAATAGTATATGGAACCATTGATAGATAGATGTGTATAATAATAACAAAACGAAAGGACAATGAGAAGTGAATGCAGGTGAGCAACTGCACCGGTCTGTGAGAGATCCGATGCCAAGTGGTTGGGGTTGTGTGTTTTAGAGTTTTAGTAGTGTACTTTAGGTCAATATCTCAACTACCTCCATGTGGCTGTGGATCCCATTAACTTCCACCTGTCAACTAAAGATTGTTGACATTAGTCAATGCATCTGAGTGCTTGAACCTCAAGCCTCTGTTCATTTTTGTGTGACCCTCCACCTCAACCTCCAGCCTCAACACTTCGATTAATTTAGTTACATGAGTATAAAATCTTTATTAATTTACATTTCTTATTAACTTATAAATCTGTTATTACCGATTGAATATCCTTTCATGTTTTTTTTTAGTGTCATCAACAATAATACCATTTGATAGAAAAATTCCTAAGAAAAAAAGAAAGATATAAATATTTGTCAAGAGTGGGATTTGAAACTGGCGCCTTAGACCAACTCGGCCATCTTGACGATTTTTTGAGTATAGTCCACATCTTATGTAAAATAATCCATGTAACAGCCCACAACTATTGCAATAATAATATGCATTTAATACTAATATACTTATGTCTCCATACACTTATGCTCGAATTTGACACACGACAATTACTAAAAGACACATTGTTTGGTGATGACTTATGCTCTCTACTCTCAAACTTTAAAAGAAACTCTTGGATACAATTGAATAAAAGAAACATAAATTATGCTTTCTTAATGCATTTCCAAGTATCGATTACTTGTTGAATTAGTCGCTTCGTTAAATTGATCTCAAGGTTTTTGCTTCTTACCGAATAATTCATTTGACACAGTTTCTTGAAAACATGGTCTAAATAATTTTAATTCTCACTACCTTATCGATGGTGTGATATTGTGGGCATATAGATCAATAGATGTCATGTGATTGTTCTCAACCCATCATAACTAGTCTGAAGTCTGAACTAAAAAACAGTAAATTTCATTAATGGGATTCATATAATTGCAAACATTTGTACGTGATGGGCCTCTGGTCTATAATTGGGCTTATTTAGCTAAAAGTTTACGGGGCGGGTTAATACTAAATCGGGTCGGGCGAATGTTCCATATGAAGAGAGTGGGTTGGGTTCGCGCAATCTCAAACCAAACAGTGAAAAAAGATCGACGACTACAATGGCGGCCGCGTTTCTGCCGGCGACGTCTCTCCGTCTAACTCCATACTCTACTCTCCGCTTCTTATCATTCTTCTCCATTTCTAATCCTTCTTATTCTCTCTTCCGCCCTCCACGCCACCGAGTTCTCCCGCTTATTGATGCTTTTCCGACCAATTCTCGCCGGAGATGCTTTTGCACAGCTGTTTCCGAATCTCTCGGCTCTGGGGAGGGAAATAAAGTTGATAACTTTGAGAAGCGATTTGGAAGTAAAGTTGGAGAATTCAGGAAGAAGTTGAAGATCGCGGAAGTGAAAGGAGGAGCAGACGAAGGGCTCGGTCGCGTTGGGCAGAGTCTTAACATTATGGGTTGGGTCCGTACACTTCGATCTCAGAGCAGTGTCACATTCATTGAGGTAATTCTCAATCTCTGTTCATCTTTAACAGTCTCTTGATTGATTGCTGACAAAGTTATGGTTTTCATTTTTGTTCTTGTTTGAAGATAAATGATGGTTCATGCTTATCGAATTTGCAATGTGTGATGAATTCGGATGCAGAGGGGTATGATCAGGTAATCACTGTGACCTGAGATCAATGATTAGGACTTAGGAGCCTTAACTACTTGAATTTATAAATAAACCTTAGACATGTTTCCTGTGGGCGGAATAATAGGTAGAATCTGGTTCGATCTTGACTGGAGCATCCGTATCTGTACAAGGTACTATTGTGGCTAGCCAGGGAACAAAGCAAAAGGTGGAACTTAAGGTTGAGAAAATCATTGTGGTATGTCTTCGCTTCTTCTACTTTGGACACTGAACTTTAGTTCCTTGAGATTGAAATTTGAAAGTATGTTTCTTTGAATTTTTGTCACTTATTACTCTCACTTTATCCTAGGTTGGAAAGTGTGACTCTTCCTATCCGATCCAGAAGAAAAGGGTCAGCCGGGAATTCTTGAGAACCAAGGCTCATTTACGTCCAAGAACCAATACTTTTGGGGCGGTAACTTTCCTTTTTCATTTACCTTTTATACTGTCATGAAATTCCATACTGTAGACAAGTCTTGTTACCTTCTTGGCAATTTGATGTATTATCTCACACAGAAACATATCTCTTACTAGAAACTGTCGTTTGTCTATTGTTTATGTTGAAAACTGCTTCTACGGCTCACCTTTCAGGCTTCACTTTAGTGATACTTGACTGTGAACTTACTGCCTTGTCACAATCACCAAATTCTATATTCTTAAATATGCAAAATATCTTGTTTCAGGTGGCCAGAGTTAGGAATACTCTGGCATATGCTACACACAAGTTCTTTCAAGAAAGTGGATTTGTCTGGGTGGCAAGCCCAATTATCACAGCGTCAGATTGTGAAGGAGCTGGAGAACAGTTCTGTGTCACTACACTTGTAAGGACCTTAGCTCTCTACATCTCAATATTCTGTAATAACCCATTAACAGCTTGATTGTTTTCACCAAGAAATACAACTCTCAACTCCACATGGAAGAAAAAGTAACATTACACATAATCTATACTTCAATGTTTAGATTCCCAGCTCCCATGAGAACACCGATACTTCCATTGATGCAATTCCGAAAACAAAGGGAGGGTTGATTGATTGGTCTCAGGTGTGTTCCAGCTCCAAATTTTTTGTATCTTAAGAATGTTAGCATATGAACTTGTAACTGTAACGAATTTCATGGCTGTATCACTCCTCAGGACTTCTTTGGGAAACCAGCATTCTTAACAGTCTCTGGGCAACTCAATGGAGAAACTTATGCAACCGCTCTCTCAGATGTAATAGTTCACTACTTGAGTGATTGTGAGCTAGATTTTCTTTGTAGCAAGTGTCTGAATTCCTTATCTGTATGACATTACAGGTATACACATTTGGTCCAACATTTCGAGCTGAGAATTCCAACACGTCCAGGCACTTAGCCGAATTCTGGGTCAGCATTATTAAATCCTCCAGCCAAACTCACACTTCAAAAATTCTTACCTAAGTGTATTTTTCTGAAGAGCTCTCTTTCTACCTTATAAGATGATTGAACCAGAACTTGCTTTTGCCGACCTGGACGATGACATGGCCTGTGCCACCGCCTACCTCCAGTACGTAGTATGTTGCTCTTTCACTTTATATTTCCTTCAAAGGATATATGAGCTTGTCAATTTTGGTAATGTCATCTAGAATTAATTTGATTGTATCTCTTGATATTCTGATAGGTAAAATACGTTCTTGACAATTGCAAGGAAGACATGGAGTTTTTTGATACATGGATTGAGAAAGGAATTATTCGTCGCTTGAGCGTATGTTCTCCGATTCTCACTATGTGATCAGAAAAGAATTTTATGCAGTTTGCACTGGCTGATATATTGATCGGTTTACAATTTGTCTTGTAAAGGACGTAGCTGAGAAAGAGTTTCTACAGCTGGGTTATACAGACGCCATTGAAGTTCTTCTGAAAGCAAACAGAAAATTTGATTTTCCGGTAAAGAAAGGCTTTATTCTCTCCTTTGGAATAGATTGAACTGGACAATTTGGAATTGGAAACTCAAATAGGAGTTCCTTTTTCTAAACAAGTTCTACTGTTTTTGACCTCTGAGCTAGTAGTCTACCTGTTTGTGTGTTTTGGTATTTTCTGTGTAAGTAACTGTGATTCTATTTTCATTTCTTTGGGGTAGGTTGTTCTCTAAAATGATATTATTTTATGGTCGCTTGAGTAGAAACGTCAAATTTTGGTTGTCTGATAGAGCTGCATGTTGTAGGTGAAGTGGGGGTTGGATCTGCAGAGTGAGCATGAAAGGTACATAACAGAAGAGGCATTTGGGGGTCGCCCTGTGATAATAAGAGACTATCCGAAGGAGATAAAAGCATTCTATATGCGAGAGAACGATGATGGGAAGACAGTGGCAGCAATGGATATGCTCGTGCCTCGGGTAAGATAAAAAGATAATACATAATCTTGTTGATAATAAGAAGTTGTTGATAGTGAATGATGATGATGGGTTGTGGTCTGAAAAGATAGGAGAGCTGATAGGTGGAAGCCAAAGAGAGGAAAGGCTTGAGGTCTTGGAAGCGAGGCTTGATGAGTTGAAACTTAACAAAGAGAGCTACTGGTGGTACCTTGACCTTCGCCGCTATGGCTCAGGTCTCTTTCTAGTGTCTTCTTCTTTTTCTTCTTCTTTGAATCAAAAGATAGAAACTTTGGGAGGCTGATGAAGTAAGTGTCTTTGTTATTGTGTGTGCGTTCGTGTGTGTAGTTCCTCATGCAGGATTTGGACTAGGGTTTGAGAGGCTGGTCCAATTTGTCACCGGAATTGATAATATCAGAGACGTCATTCCTTTCCCGCGCACACCTGCCTCTGCTGAATTCTGATACTCGACTCTCCCATGCTCCACAGTTTCATTTCCTCCAAATTCTTGTACTCTTATGTGCCATTATTTATTTGACATCAACGAAAATCTCAAAAGAAATAATTATTTGATTCATATTTAGAAATATTATTTATATGTAACACTCTCTGTCTCTCTCCCTTTCACAAAAATTGACTTTTTAGGTTTTTATTTTGTTTCATGTAGATTGATATTTTACTTTTATATGTACTTCATTACTTTTAACTTTTGTAAATAAGATAAACTTCAAATTATATTGATAGAGGATATTTGAGTAGATTGAATTAATAATGGTTCACAGTCAAGTGGAGAGATGTTTAGTTTGAAAAGATGATGATGTATGTATTATACTGTGTGAAATTGTAACAAAATAGTAATCTGCATAATTTTGGTAACAAAATAAATTTTACTTCTTACAAAACATTTTGTATATAATGTTTCTCACTTTCTCTCATCATAAATCAAAGTACATGAGATTTGTAATCAATGATACTTATTTGTCACAAAAAGAATGACAGGCACTTCTTTTCTCTAAATTTGACAAAGGGAAGAAAAGAAACAACTCTTTGAGATCCTGCCCCTTTCATCATTCCATGGTTAACCTTCATGACGGTTTTTGAGTCACCTTGGAACTGAAAGGCCAAACTCTAGAACAACAAAACATAAAAGATCACCACGATTAGATTAGGGCACTGATTGAGGTGAAGAAACAAAAGATGGATGCAAATGGCTTAATGAATATACTTTAATAACAAAGCAATGCTACCTTTAAACTAGACAATAAAATCTCATCTAAAATAACTTGTCCCAAGTCTAACTTGTCAGGGATCATTGTTCACAGAACCCACCTTCAAAACAAACTGCAAACACATCTCACGTGCCATCGACTCCATCTGGACAAAGAGCATTTTACAGATTACTACGTTACTGTGTGACACTCTAATACACAAAGCCCACAAGCTAACTTGCAGAAACCGGCATTCACTTACGAAAAACAAAAGCAGGAAATACAATGAGCAGCTGTGATGCAACTTGACATTATGTTTACTATGTTTCCAACCTCTAAGTTCTACATGATTTCAGCCCCACATTAGTTACCCAGTCCTTAATTCCCCGATTTCATTGAACTATTGGAGCTATGAAAAAAGGTTCGTACTTGATAAAGATGCAAGGGTTCACATGGTGATGGTGAAATCATGTGCCTACATCAACCAAGTACTCATAATTATACACTAAAACTCAAAACTCTAACATTCCTCTGTGTCACTCAGCCAATATAAGTTGTCTCCTACTTGTTACGACCCAAAGATATAATCTTACAGCCCTGAGCACATTATGCAACTAATGCACCGGAAAAACAAAGACTTGAGGAGTACTCTAGTTTCCACTTAACCAAATAAACTAGTCTCAAGCCAGAAATGTCATAAGGCCTATCAAAGGTACCAAACAGATAGAGAGTTTCATAGCAGCAATGAGCAATCAATCAGCTCCTAAGATCTATCTATAATTGGATCAGCTACTTATTATGCACATTGGAGCGCTTTGGCTTCAATTTAAGTAACCACTATAGCCATAAATCAAAAGCAAGCAGAAAAAAAGCCAAGTTTAAAACAAACAGGAGGAAAGCAAAAAGAGTGAACTCACAAGAAAAGTAAAGAGAAAAGCATTAGAGATCGGGACAAGTGCAGCAGAGTGTACCCTGAGAGAGAGCTCGGCTACTCCTTGATGTTGTGCTTAGACACGACGTCAGCCTCGCCGCCGCCACCGTGCTGTGCAGCGGTAACAGCGACTGCACACATCCCAGCTCCGACGGACACCTAAAGAGGTCGAAGCATTGGAGATTTCAGAAACAGAGGAGATGAAATTGGTATTGGTAAACAGATGCACAGATGCAGACCTGGAGAATGAGAAATGGCGAGAGGGTTGAGAAGGAAGACGAAATCGGGCTGATGACGCAGCCGGTGCAGATCCGGTGGTTGATCTGAGGGAGGATTTGAGGGAAGAGACGGAAGCTCTGTTAAAGAGCTTACGACAAGCAGAAGCCATTATTATCAGAGAAGACGAAACACGACCATGTGATCGAAAGAAAGGGTTTTTATGCAAAAACAACAATTATCTCTCCTTTCGGGTTTTTATCTTCACTTTTGGGAATGTGCAAACAATTCAAAATCATCCAAAGTGATTATTTTGGGATTAATATGCAAGCTCATTCGAAGGACGTGAAATTATCATAGGATGATTGAGAGAACAAATGGAGTTTGAGAGATGATAATTGGGAACAATCAAACTACTACATGTACAACTTCTTCTTCTCTCTCTTAGACACACCCGAGTCATGAGAGATAGAGAGAAAGAGAGAACATTTGACTGAGACTAAATAATCAAAAGCAAATAATTCACACCTACGATAAACAACATCATCTTTTCTTCTTCTCTTCCCCTACTTTTTTTTAGTCTCTCCCAACCAACAAACAAGTTTGGTTTCTTTTAGAAGCATATAACTAAAATTAAAAACAACCTAATAGCAGCCGACACTGCTTCTTTTCTTTCCTCCACTTGGGTTTATGTGCACTTGCTTCTTCTGCTCCTTCACTTGCCTGCCAACAACATCATCAACAGTTTCAGCTAAATATTGGTTTACCTCCAAGTTATTCCACTTTTCAACACTTTTTATTACAAAACATCACCTCTACTGCTACTTTTTGCTTTGACTTTGGTGATTTCTGCTGTGTGATACCGAAGGAATCTTCGAGGTCATCATCGACGTTTGCAGACCTTCAAGTAGCTGCAGAATAACACAGATACACGTTTTAAATGAATCGGTCATGACCAGAAATCAGGGGACATTATGCAAACTTCCACACATAAATGTAAAAATCTCCCATATACTACTTACTCTAGAAGTTGGCTGGATCCTGCGGATTGATCTCCGTGGCTCCATTCCCTCCGATGTTTTTGAAGAATTTTCAGCCAACGCCTTATCCTCTTCGATTTTGGCTAACCTTCCTGCAGTAGGAGCCACTTTCCCTTTATTAGTGCTCAAGGAGGAACTATTCTTGGAACCCGTATCATGGAAGGATGATGTGGTTTGCTCTTCCACTGTTCCCTTAAATGGAACACCAGATGCAGGACCTTTGTTTTCTGCACTCGCATCAGCGGCATCATCAGATTCCATATCTGAGGCTGTTGTATTACGCAAGTCCTTGCGGGGAATTGTTCTAGCCGCAGCACCCAGTTTCTCTTTGGGCTTGGGTGCAGGTTTGAAAGTCTTGGGCTTAGATATTGTTGTCTGTTTCTCTCTGGTGATAGTTTTAGAAGGCAATCTCCAGCTACCTATTCCAGAATTTTGGGGCACAACTGATTTCACAGGCTTAACTGGTTCCTTCCGTTCCTGAGTTTTGGTGCTCGCCTCTGAAACATAGTGTTTGCTCACGTCCATGAACTTCCTTTTCTTTCCAGGTTTAGGGACACCAAAAATCACTTTTGATCCTTGCTTTTGCAAACCGGTTCTCTTCATTCGGAGTGGATCGGGTTTGTTCTCCTCTCTGGTACTCTTTCCAATGTTAAATGTGTTCTCTGAAACATCAAGAACACCAGTCTGAGGCAGTTTCTCTAAGTTTGGATCACCAACAATCTTCATACTCGTGTCTTTTATTTCAGCCACAGGAGCAGGAGTTCCTAATCTAGGACGCTTTTCCTTTGGCGTATCACCCTGATATTCAAAATTTTGAGTCTTGCAAATTAGCTAAAGCATCCAAAAGAGAACCCTCTAGATCCATAAAAGGGTGAAAATACCTCATGTGACGAGCTGATGTTTTCTCCTGAACTAGAACATTCAATCCACTTTCCATCTTTCCACACAAGAGAAGGACGAAGATTCCAAGCTTTGATCGTCAAAGTGTCTCCTTGCGCTGCAGATTTTTTTTTTAGAAAAAAGAATGTTTTGAGCACAGTGTATCACAGACAAGCAGTTTAGAGCACAAAAATGAGATATCTTCATCAGGCTTACGCACCAGGAAAATGCACAGTCACTGTATTTTCATCTTTCTTGTTCTTCTCTGTGATAACACCCTCCAACCAACTGAAGGAAAATAAAACAGATATAGTTCAAGTTTCCAAACTTCGTTGAATGAACAAGGATTTCACAGAACGCAAGATTAAAATCGATTTACAGATTTTATGTTTTGGTCTGATCCCCGTTAGAGCAAAGCATTAAAACAGCTGGTTATAGAGACGGTGACTACCTGTCATGCACCCACGAGTCTACCCTGTCCCCAATTTTCCAAACATGATCCCCAAGAGCAGCTCTACGTCTCTTCCTGGTTCCTTCATATGGCATGGCAGTAACAGAACGAGCAGTTCTTATTTTAGGGGCCTGATCACCTTCGCCTTTGAGGGCTACCCACTCCTTTAGCTTATCTGTTCCTCATAAAAGATAATATCAAAGGATCAACAAATCACTTAATAAAGCAATGGAGCCTCTTCGTAGGAGCTTCAGTACTCAGGCTGCATCCTTTCAAAATAAATTTTTACATGCATATAATATAATAATGGAAAGTGAGTGATTACATAGGATTACATATTTACCCTAATACTTGAAAGAATTTGTGAAGTTAAAGATCTATTGATGATAAATAAGGTTTAAAGAAAAAGATCATGGTAAACACACAAACCTTGTTCTACAGAAAGGTCATTGAACAACACGTAAGCTTTATCATCCTCTAAGCTCAATACATTGGCAGAGTACCATGCGGTTCTTAATCCAGGTTCTTCCTTGAAAACCTTCAAAGGAAATATTATCTCCGTTAACGAAAGAACACAATCAACCACGAGCAGTTAGTTATAGACGGTGTAAATATACAAATGTAGCAAAAACCTCTACATTAGAACCCTCCTTGATGTCCTCATTATTTGTTGCTTTCATACTCTGTTGACTTTCAGTTTGGGTGTCAATCGAAATTTTTGACCCAACTTCTGGTTCCAAAACCACATCATTGTTAACAGCCAAGTCTGCACCTGTATCACCCTTTTGTCCCTTTTTCTTTCCAGTGGCAGAAACTGGTCCAGACACACCATCTGACTTTTGCAGAGAGCCACCCAACTCAGTCTGCACAGTTCTGGGACTAGCAATAGTTCCCTCACTAGTAGCCACAGGTTCTTTTTCTAAAACAACCGTACAAGGCTGCACTTCATGAGATCCTTGAGCCTGTCTCCAATAATTACTTGGACCCGCCTCCACCAGCTTATTGAGCGACGGAGGATGACCCATTGACACAAGTATTCCAGCTTGTGAAACCGCGTCGGATGCCAATTCAGCTGCTTTTACAATGGAGTCCATATTTTCAGCACGCTTGGTGGCCGCTGTGGCAGCTTCAACCCTCTTCTTAGATGCCTCTCTCGCAGCAATAAGAACCGAACTGGAGCTCCCCACTGCACCTTCACCCTTCAAGATAGAAGCAGGGGTACCGTGGCCTGGTAATAATATATTATCATTTGACTTTGGGAGTCGCTGATCAAAAGTATATATAAGGGATGCTTCTTCAGCCATTAATTTGGCCTGCAATGCAGCATTAGCTGCAATATTGGCGGCAGCAGCTGCAGCTTTTGCCACCGCAGCAGCAGCAGCTATAGCAACAGCAGCCGAAGCTAATCTGTCTTGAGTTTCTGGCTGGAGGCCAGCATGACTTTGTTGCTCTATCCGCTTCCATACATATTCGCTGTGACTAACAGCTGCAGTAGCAAGAGCAGATGCATCCTCTGCATGCATCTTAGCCTCCTTAAGTTTATCCATAGTATCCTCTGACAAGACAGATCTCTGCTTTACTTCAGGTACAAGGTTACCACCAAAAATTGGAGATGGCAACGATGATTTGATTTTCTTCCCGGGGAACGTAGATACCAGGTCCATAGGGACTGCAGTGATAGAAACAACATTAGGCAGGGTGCCAGCATTAGAACCCAGATTAGCCGGAGTAGGTGTAATAGGCACTGCCGTCGATATAGAAACAAGAGGTGAGGCAGCTAACTCTGTCTGCTTTAACGAATTCAAAATGTTTGGACCAAACTCCACAGAGGCTGGCATCTTCTTCCGTTTCCTTGATTTTGTCCCAGTCGAATGTTGAGCAGGTGCTACAACTGAACTCGTTGGCTCAAGTGATGATGTCACTTTGAAAACATTGCCAGAAGTTCCACTCTGAACATGCTTTGCGCCAGGGAAACTCAAGGACGATTCTTTCATGGGAGTCAACTTTACAGGTTCGGTCATTGGATAGACGGGGAAACGAGAACCAACATCAAATCCACTGGTTTGCTGAGAAGCAAGCCAAGAATTACGGAAAGGGAGAGGCGACATCCAAGGGGTATTATGTCCAACAATATTCGCAGTTGGTGGAGTTTGGTGAGCATGCGATGAAGAAAGCAATGGCTGGTGAGTAGCAGTTGAACCTCTCTGAATGCTACTTGATTGTAAAGTATCAAGGGAAGTTGATAAACTCCATAAAGGTGATGAGAGTGGAATCATGGGGTTTGTCGCTGAACTCTCTTTGCTATTGGTGTGACCAGCTGATGGAGTCTCTGTCTTCCCTGAAAATGCAATTTTGGGTATTTGGATCAGCAGCGGTGAGAGGTAAAACTAAGCACACCATAAGAGTTTGAAATGCATAATAAATCAATGTAGAAACCTGCACGTGATTGCAATGGCGTTTCAGGAGTAGCAACAAACGATTTCTGAGCCCTTACAACACAAGAACGCCATGCTTTCTCCCAGCTGCCCTTCCCACCATCTAAAGAAATGCAGAGTGAACACACTTGTCTCAAACCTGGGTCATTAATAACACAATAGATTAAAGAATAACAGTATTACCTGGACCACCAAATGCAGAAATCATATAAGCTTCATCGGGTGCTGTTCCTTGGCTGTATCAGAAAAAAAAAACATAACCATCAAAATTTTGCAAGAGAATAAGATGTGCAAGAACTCCAAATGAGATGCTCTCAAATCTCAATAACTCAACAAGACATGAGAACATATAAAGACTAAGAAAGAGCTTACATCAGAGCCCCATATACGAAAATTTGTGCACGTAGTTGCACTTGTTGCAAGTCTGTGAAAGGTCGACGCAGAATACTTGAGAGAACAGCAGAGTTCAAATCCGGTAGACTTGCCGTGGGGGTTGAAAGGGTCCCAAAAGCTTTTAGAGCAGGGCTCTGAAGACTTTGCGGTTTCTCAGTAGATTGTGTGATCTGAATAGGACAAGCCGAACTTTGATTAACAGCATTTGTTTTGCCTCCACTTTGAAACTGTTGAAAAGGTGTAGCCCCTTTTACACTAGTTCCTTTTCTAGAAGTCTCTTTTCCTACAGATTTAGATGTTCGCCTGGGTTTCCGCTCAGATTTTGTTTTGGAAGACTTTGCAGCTGTTTTCTCTAAGCTAGATGTTGAAGTAGATCCCACCACAATCTGAATAAACAAAAAACAATGCTACGTAAGGACAAACACACACTAATGCGACAGAATTCGCCTTGAACACTGATGAAAATATGTTAAAGATATAAATTGGAAGTACCGGAGAGACCAGTGTAGCTTGTGAAAAATTAACAGCTTTGGAAATTTCCCCTGCTTTCAGCTGATCGGGAGTTAAGTTCATCTCACTGCTGAAGGTCTCATTATTCAAGACCGAAGATCCAGCAGACATAAAACTCGAAATATTCTGATCTTCTGGCTTTTTGACACTGTCTGTCTCAGTCTTATTAAGTTGAAGTTCGGCAGTCGTAACAGTGGGGAAAGAATTAAGAGGAGTCTTCAAATTAGTAGCAGCGTCTTCTGTTGCAGTTACATGAGACTTTGCAGAAGGCTCAGAAACTGTAGAAGCACAGGAATTTACTAGTACGATTGCATCACCTGAAATATCCCAAGGACAAGTACATATTTTCGATGAATGCATGAAATTAATTGCATGGATATAGAAAAAAAGAAGTCGTTCCAAGATCAAGATCTGTTCAACTTAGGAATTTTCCAGCTGTATTCTTTAATAAAGAGCCTTTTTACTTAAATAACACAGAGTGTAAACTTTGTCAGTATTCATACATGATACACCTAATCTGTATCTTCCTTGTAAACCATTCTAAGGAAATCAGAAGAAACTGCAAGAAAGGGAAGTTTCTTGATGCTACGATGATCATACAGACTCACCTTTGGGGTTTGAAACAGGAGTCCCAGCTGACATAATTCTTCCGGTTGCAGCAGAATTATCCTCTTTCCGGTGATCCTTTCCAGCTTCACTCCCAAGATTAGACAAGGTGCTAGTACTAGGCTTTTCATTTTTGTTATCCTTGTCCAGAACTAACTGAGTCTCTGCGGAGGAAAAAACAAAAGAAAAAAAGATTGCTACAACATAAATCAACTCATCGAAAGGTAAACAAATCGGGTTCGGTCTACATGGAACGGCAATATACAAAGAATCAAGCTAGTACGATTACTATGGCCGAAAATAGGAAAACGTTACCAGGAGCATTTACAACTTCTGTTACTAGAGTTTCTTCTAAAATTGTTTCCTCAGACTGCTGCAGCAAAACTTGTCCAGTAGCACCAGCATCAGCATCAGCATCTACTGCATCCTTTGACCCTTCAGAGCCAGGACAGCCTTCAACAAAGTGCGTACTTTGCTGAGTATCTTCAACAATCTTCCTAGCTTGTTTGTCCATCTGACTCCCCGAACTACTTGCATCCACAGGTGGAACGGTTTGACCATTTTCAGGTTCACCAGATGATATCTTCTCGGTTTTAGAGAAACTGCCTTGGTCACTTGTATCAGAGGATGTCTTTACCATATGTAAATCAATTGAAGATGTAAGACTGACAGCAGGTGCTCCATATGGATTTAAAGGTTGTAATTCTTCACCGTTAAGAGAATAGTCAATCATAGTCCCTGTGGAAGACATTTAGGGGGTTGTAAACAAGTAATATATACCATTTGCAGTAGGAAGTTAACCCCAAAAGAATAAAAAATATGCAGCACAAGGGCTACTGAGAGAACGAGAAGGCAAATATGAAGATAGAGTATATTAAAAGAATTAGAAAATATGATTACCTGACTTGTCTGTTGGTATGGTGTCAGATTGAGATTTTGGCTCCGCCAGCTTGGAAGCCGGGCCTCCTGAAACATAGCCAACAGACTCGGACACAACACTTTCAGACAAAATTGGAGAGTTCTTGACATCCTGATCTCTCTCGTTGGCATTGACAGGCAGTTCCATTCTTTGCTCGAGATTAGAAGTGGGATCACTACCTTCACTATCACTCTTCTTAGACACACCACCTTTTGTAGCTTCAACCATCGAGTCCATAGGTGAAATATAAACACTTTCTGAAGTTTCAACTACATGTATCTGCGTATGTGTCTCAGTCTCCATCTGAAAAGTAGACTCATGTACACTTGTAATAACTTCCATATGTTGATGACTAAGCGACTCAGGTTTCTCAATGGAAACACTGTTTGGTATAGTTGTCAATTCCCCAACAAGTTCCAAAGATGCTTTAACAGCTCCCCTAGTATGAACAGTGCTGACAAGGAGATCTTGGCGTTGAGTCCCAGAAACATCTTGTCCACCTACCTCAACAGTAGGGAGAGCTTGGTCCCCTCTTTCTAGTACTGTGACATCAGATAGCTCTATCTCCTTCAAATCAGGCTCTGCAGTTTCGCCAATATTTTCAGCTTCCACATTTTCAGCTTCGGAAGCTGATTCTATATGGCTATCAGAATGAGCCTCAACCAAAACTGACTTTGCATCTATAGTTATATCACTGCGGTTATAACTACTTTGAATGTGGCCACTGATAACATTTTCATCATTGGAAGTCTCTGGAAGCACAGTGCTCTGATTATTCAACTCACCACTACAAGTAATCTCAGTCTGTACAGTTCTATCGCTACAATCATCTTCCATCCTCGATTCTATATTGGCTTTCTCTTCCGTTTGGTGACGAAGATTATCAGTCGACTCAGGTCCTATTTTATCAAGACCAGCAGTTTGGACAGCCTCTACCGTCGCGGTATTTGAAGTCAAGATGGCATTCTTTTCCTCCACAGATGCTTCTTCTACGGCGGTTGGTGAGTCATCTTTTACCAGAACCTGCTCCTGTCCATCATCTGTCTTGACTACAGAGAACTCTCCTGAAGTATCATCCACAGATGGGTTAGGTTGTAAGTTCACCGTTTCCTCTTTGGAAGGACTTTTTTCATGGGATGTCTGACCAGGCTCCATTGGTTCCATTGTGCAACCTAGTTCATCAGAAGTGTCAGATTTCTTGATAGTATCCTCTCTTACAATAACTTCGTCCTGTCCAACTGAATTCAAAAGCATTTCAACAGATTCCGACGAAGTAGCCTCAGACCAAACATTATTGTGCCTTGGAATGGCACAAGACTCCGTTGCACCTGAACTAAACACTATACCACTACTTCCACGAGAGAAATCCTCAATCCAGTTATTATCTTCGTTACCCTCAATACCAAGAAAAGCCTCACTTTCACCTAAACTGTCAAACCTTAGATGCGTGTTGAGTGTATCATCAAAATCAAACTTTGGTAGAGCATAAGGCTGTAAAACTGGTGGAAATTTATTGTTGGCTTCACCAGCTAAATGGAGATTCTGGTTTTGAAAGTCATTGTCATCATAATCCATGGGTTTATTCCTGAAATAAGGAACATATAAATCAAATTACGAAACAAAAGCATACCAACACCGTGAAACATAAAATAAAATAAAAAAACGACTCTGGTCATTTTCATGTCGAGTGGAGTAAACAGTAGGAAACGAAAAGTACCGAGACAAGAGTGTATGGAGACGCTACCTCCCTCCATTCGGTGACAAAAAACCTGGCCGTCAGACCTCAGCTGTCCCCTAATCGCACGTTCATCTACTACTGCTCCACCAAAAACAAAACCATACGCGTCAATTATAAATTTCTTCCTTCTCAAAATCCAAGGGCACACGAAAACCTAACTGAGGAAACTCGCTTAAATGATAAATTGCAACGCTGAAGAAGTTAAACTCACCGGAAAATTCAAACTGACGGAGGTGACCTAGGGTTCCGGCGAAGAAAGTTTGGCGAGTGAAGCAGATTGGGAGAGAAATGGCCCGATAAATTATATTCGCTTTCCTCGGCAAATGAAATGAGTCTGGTTTAAGTAAAGCCCAAATTAAATAAATAAATAACATTTGTAGAGAAAATAAAGATGGATGCTGATGCGGCAAAATCCAGAGTGACACGTGTCGAATTTTCTGGATCCTGTGGCTAATATTGAATTTAAACAAAACATGCGAAAGGTGTTTTACTTTTAAATTAAAACGTACGTTAAAATCTAGGGCAATTTATTGGCTAAGGTTCCGTTAAAAGAAAATAAATATTTTATTGACCGCAAGAGGTAAAAGAAAATTAGGTTGTTCGTTTCACCGCCGCAGGTACTTGCGGTTGCGGTAGAGCTGCATGTTCGTTTAGTTGCCGCAGCTACCTGCGGTAAGACGCTGCGTTCGGCGGCGATAATTTTTGGACGCTGATTAAATTCAGCGTCGATGACTAAAAAGCTGCATTATATGTGGTAAATGACACAAATACCCTTATTATTTTTGAGAAATCACAAACAAACCAAGCGATTCTCTTCTTCGATTCCTCTGTCACTTCTCTTCTCTCATCGACGAATTGGTTTCTCCTCAGATTTCTCCTAAAGTGTCCCCTCTTACTTGCATCAGGTTTGTAACCATCAAGACTTTGTTTTTGTTTTGATCTTTCAGATTTCTCTTCTCTTGACTCTTCTTCTCTTTTGATCTTTGTTTCTGGGTTTTTGTAACGGTTTAGGGAACAATACAATCTCTAGCTACATGGTTTAGAATCGTTCTTCACTTTGCAGAACCAAAAGGTACGATTTGAAACTGTTGAATTTTGCTCATTTGGGTTTTTCTTGTTGTTGCTAGCTTGGTGTTTGTTTGGTTTTTAGCTTTTATAGAACGGAGTTGTTGTGATGTCCTTTTGTTCTTGTTTCAATTGGTTTTGGTGCAAAAGCGATTATTCCCTGTAAGCAAATTCTATATGTCTATCTGTCCCTTTGTTTGCCTTGTGTTGATTCAAAATCTTGACTTGGAGCCTGCGTTTTAAAGCTTTGCAATTGACACTTATCTTGTTCCAATCATGTTTGCCTTCTCTCTATCTCTGTATGAATTTACCAATGTAGCTTTTGAAGTATAAGATATGTGACTCAATCTAGAAACACTTCATAACTGTGCTAGCTGCTACATCTGATTTCCATTGTTTGGTTTAGGGATATACAATGGTTTCAAACCCACATACGCTTACTAGAATCTGTGAAGTTTGATTAGGGAGGAACAAGACTCGAAATTTGGATAAGCACTTAATTTCTGTAGTAAAAGAATTGGATGGATGCATCATAGATCTTACTGTTTGATGAAACCTTTCTTACTTGCTATTTCATTGAGATGTTTTTGTCTCTGGTTAGTCTATTTTTTGGGAATTCTTATGCTCTTGCTTGTGTCATTGAATCATTATTCTGTCCATTTTAATCCAGAGTCATCAAAGAGACATTCATTTTGAAAGTGTTGAATTTGGTAAGAACTAGTGATTAATAACTGCTCTAAGTGCTCTTGACGTTAGTCATTCTAACTATACCAAAAATACATATTAAGCATAGAGCTTAGCTTTGATTATGTTGTAACTTACTTGATATCTAATGTCATTGCAGGTACCAAACTGTGAGCTTCTCTTAGTTATATTCTTTACTAACATTAAGTTACATTTATGAGAAGAGACAAGCTGCACAAATTAAGACCTATACTTGTTGGAGTCTCTGCGGATCTTCTTGTTTGCCATAAAGTCTTTGCCATTGACAATCCTGTGAGTGTATATATTATTCAAAATAGTATTCTCTGCTTTTTGCTTTTGAATTTTTGAGGTAGCAAGCTTGTTTTGAATTATCTAGAATTATGTCTATGCTTTTAGATATGAAAATGAGCAGTGTGTGACTAGTTTAGGATCATTGCTTGCAGGTCGTTGCACTTCTTCAGGGTCATGAGGATTTAGTCATGGAGTTTGCAAACGTTTTCAAGAGACCCACTGGTTCATCAGGATCAAAATCTGATAGAGATAGATGAGTACATTAGAAGACTGTCTCTGCTTTAGTATTGGATGTTTGGAATATAATGTTTGGAATAAAATTTTATTTGTTGGGGACTTCTTTTACTAATTACATACCTAAAATTATGTATATTATTTTCTCAATTGGTTTGGAATTTGGAGTAAAAATCAAAATAATATATAATGTGTGCATTAATTTTCTCAATTGGTTTGGAATTTGGAGTAAAAATCAAAATAAACAAGTCTTATTTTTTTGTTTATGACTTGGTGTATTAAGTTTAGTTAAATGTATTGGTTTACTATTTTTATTTTAATTTAGCTCATGATTTATCACAAAATTATATTGTTATAATTATATAATTAACTAAAAATTATTACTAGCTAAACAATTATTTCTTATGGATGTAAATATATTTACATTACATTTTTTTTAATTCAAAATGTAATTATACAAATTTATAAAAATAAAATAAGAATTAAATAAAAATTGTCGCAGCGGCGACAAAACGAACAAAGAAATCTGTGGCTGCGGCAGAGGCGGCGGCAGCTGTAGCGGTATCGAAACAAACATAAAACCTGCGGCAGCGGCAGCGGTTGCCGCAGCGTCGGCGGCGACGAAACGAACAACAACCTGCGGTAGTGTTTGCCGCCGCCGCAGCCGCTGCCGCCTGCGGCGATGAAACGAACAGACTAAATATCCTTTTGGTTGACGTGACTGTGGTAAAAGTTAAAAAGATTTATTGTTGAAATGACTATTGACTACTGACTGGTTAGTGGAAGAATGAAGATGATTAAATTAGACTGGCTAAACGCAATGGAAAGTGTCTTAACTCTTAAGGATCAAATTAGAGAAGAGACATGTCACTCACTAACAAAGTAACAAGTAACAACATAGATAAGAGGCTTTTGTGTGTTTGGACCATCAGATCAAATGGAACATTGGGTTATTTATCACTAACAAGTAACAACATAGATAAGAGGCTTTTGTGTGTTTGGACCATCAGATCAAATGGAACATTGGGTTATTTATATGGGCTTAGGCCCATAAATGTAAGTGGCCGCGTTATTGTATAAGACTCAGCTCTGGATCAGATCAATTTTTTCTTTGTTCAGTACAAATTCAAATGTGCTTTTCTAGATATAGAAAAAAAGGAAATATATTTAAATCATATACAAATATGGTTTCTATGTCAATTTCAGTTCGGGAAAAAAGTATTTAGATGGAATAGTTTAAGTGGTAGTGGGTGTAAAAACATGTGTCAGGCATCGGTTTAATCTAGGAAAGAGCATTCCACTTCGTTGTTATATTGCAAATTCAGCAGGTTAATTAAAAAATTTATCCATAAACCTTATGCTAAAATAAAAATATTACTTTAAGATTCAGGGGCGGGGAAAGTAATATAAACAACCATCCTGTCTACAAATTAAATGATCACTTTTCTAAAATCTTAAATTTTTTGTTTTTTGTAACTTTATTTTATGCCAATACCTATATCTAACACACCTAGTCACCAACTCCAAACAAAGCAACGGTGGTATTTGATTTAACTCCTAATCCTTATTAATATTTTAGGTTTTTAGCACCTCCCAAACTAATAAAATACAAATTGTAATCAAACAAAAAATTATATACGACCATCTATCATAATTGGTGTGAGACAACATTAATTTAAATGCAGGATATTAACGTGACAACAGAACACTCTTATCTTCACATAATATGAAATACCTTACCCATCATTTTCATAGCATTATACCAATTAGTTGTCTTTAATCATCTTCGATGTCACTAACCCTCAAATTCAAAAACAAATTGAATAGTCTAAATAATTGGCGGTTTGGGCGGCATCCAATTGTGACAGGCCACGTATAGTGGGACCAACAACTTCCTTACCTCGTTGCTATATATAAAGTCAAGCATTAACATGCCCAAACCACACAGAAATAAAAAATAACTTGTAATCAACCAAAGTCGAAAAACAGAGCTATCTTGTCGGATCAAAATGGTGAAGATTGAGATTGGAAGTTTGGGTGACTCCTTTAGTGTAGCATCTCTTAAGGCTTACTTGTCTGAATTTATCGCAACTCTTCTCTTTGTGTTTGCTGGCGTTGGTTCTGCTCTTGCTTTTGCCAAGCTCACATCCGATGCAGCCTTGGATCCGGCTGGTCTTGTCGCTGTCGCGGTGGCTCACGCCTTTGCCCTTTTTGTCGGTGTTTCCATAGCCGCCAACATCTCCGGTGGACACCTTAACCCCGCCGTGACACTCGGCCTCGCCATCGGTGGCAACATCACAGTAATAACCGGTTTCTTCTACTGGATTGCTCAATGCCTTGGCTCCATCGTCGCTTGTCTCCTCCTCGTCTTCGTGACCAATGGCGAGGTACACAAAAACATTCATAATTTATTCAATACTAATTATTTAAGTCATGTGTTATTTCTGATTGTGAATGTTTTGTTCAAACGACCGTGATTAAAAAATGTTATGGCGGTCTTAAGACCCGGTTGATTTAAAACTTAAAAGGTAGTATATATGGATCAACCGAGAATGTGTTTAATTTCCGGTTATGCAGAGCGTACCGACTCATGGAGTTGCAGCCGGTTTAGGAGCTATTGAAGGAGTAGTTATGGAGATTGTGGTGACCTTTGCTCTGGTGTACACAGTCTACGCCACAGCGGCTGATCCAAAGAAAGGATCACTTGGAACCATCGCTCCGATTGCTATCGGTTTCATCGTTGGTGCCAACATCCTCGCCGCCGGTCCCTTCAGCGGTGGTTCGATGAACCCGGCCAGGTCATTTGGACCGGCTGTTGTCAGCGGTGACTTCTCTCAAATATGGATCTACTGGGTGGGTCCACTAGTCGGCGGTGCACTTGCCGGACTCATCTACGGCGACGTCTTCATCGGATCCTACGCTCCGGCTCCCACCACAGAAAGCTACCCTTGATCAATCATATACGGTTTTAATTTGTTTGGCTTGCTTTTTGTTGTGTGAAAATGTTTGGTCCAAGTTTCTTCCGAAAAGGAATGATTGAATGTGGAGAAAAAGATCAAAGTTGTACTTTGTGTTGGTTTAAAAATAAAAATTGTATATTTTCAGAATTTCTTTTTCATAAGATCATTGATCAGTAGCTATTTATACTGCCTTTTTACTTTCCTGCATGTTGTTCACAATAATAATCCAACAAGTGAACAAGTATTAATACTTGTTCACAATAATAATCCAATCAATTTTTGTTTATCAAAATAATATAATCCAATATATTGTTTTGACATAATAGTACTCCTAAATTTTGAATTATGATATTAAAATCACATCGAACATATTTATAAAAAATACTTGGATTCACTCTAATGACCTGGTTAGCTAGTTAACGCAAGAGTTTAAAATATATGTTTTGTGGAATCTTTCAGTTATATATCCTTGAAAGGTTGACAAAAAAACAGAGTTTCAAAATATTCCAAATTGCCCAAAGATAATTTGTGAAAGGGCCAATATTTCTCTATCCAAGGCCTTTATTAGGCCCACTTAGAATCCAATCAAAATTCCTAAACTCAAGCTAATACACAAAATGGTCCAATTGGCTGTACACACTATTGTTTAAACATCCGTTTAAGTACTCAACTTGAGTGTGATAAATAGTAATGCTAGAAAGACATTTAAAAAACTGTTAATCCGTGAAACCAACACAAACGATAGAGTGCATTAATAGAAAAACAAAGTGTTCTCTTTTACGTATGGTTTATTATTTGAAGGAAGCTGGTCGGTTGTGGGGGAATGAATCGTCCGCTCAAAAGACAAAATGCTCTCAAACCAATGCATTTGTCGCCTCTTTGTGGTTTCACAAACCGTCTCACCAGATTAAGATATTACCTGAATTCATGGACAATGTTCTTAACCATAATATTATCCTCTCTTTATCCGCACTTATAAATAAGAACATGGAGACGAGTTCATAAAACCTCCAAGACTCTTACGGTAATTAAACACATATCCAGATTTTTATTGTAATCTATATTATTGAAAGTTGAAAACCCCATTTGTTAGTCTGCACGTACTTTTGGGACTTGTGGTTTGAATAATTCTCTTTTTCATAGAAAAAGAAAAAAAAGATTCTCTTATTGTATAGTTTGGTTTATGCTCTTCCTCTTCTCTTCCACCTGACTCAACATCATCCTTTTCATCTTCAAAAGTTTATTCCTTTTTAATCATTTTCTTTATATATATATATATTTTCTCAGTTTTACAGTTCATTTTTTCAAGTTTTAATTTTGAAACTCAGAGCTGGTTCTCTGTTTTGGTCACATGGTTTTGTTCAGAACATAACTCTTGTTCCACCAGGATAATAAATACCCTCTTGTGATCCCACGTCATCTTTTCATATTCAAGAAAACTTCATTTTTCATCGGAAGATTCATTTTTAGGAGAAAATGGAAAGTGGGTTTTATTCAGATTGGAAAGATACTTCTTCTTCTTCGTTGTTTGGATCAGATAATATGGAGGAAGAGTTGGAAGATGGAGTTCTCAGAGCTGAAGAGCTTTTCAAATCGATTCCTCAGCCTCAGACACCAAAAGAGCCAATGGAGTTTCTGTCTAGATCCTGGAGTCTCTCTACTTCTGAAATCTCCAAAGCACTTGCTCTCAAACATAGACAACAACAAGAACAGTTTTGTGTTGGCCAGAACAGTCCTCCTGTTTTGTTCCCTGATGCTGCTGCAGATCCACTCGTGGTACGACATTTTTATCTCTTTTCCCATTTCCAATGAAACCCTTTTTCCAACTATTTCTTAGAATTATGATGAGCCTTAAAAGTCAAAGACTTTTCAATTGTATATGACCATTGCACCAGTTCCCAACATAGTTCTAGTTCTTGGGAATTGGAATGGACAAAACATTGTGGACTGACTCTTTTCATATTTTAAAACTATGGGATTTTGATTTTAGGCTGGGAAGATCATGAACTCTGTTGGCACACGCAGAGCAGGGACATTATCCAAATGGTTTCACCACCACAAGGAACACAGCAGCAGCAGCACTACCATCAATCTCAAGAAGAAAGACAAGGTGCGTGTTGAGAACGCCCACGTGCATTCCGCCGTCTCTATAGCGGCTCTGGCTGCAGGCTTAGCCTCTGTAACATCTGCAAGCAGTTGCAAAGGGTCAGGCTCTAAGATGGCACTGGCTTTAGCCTCAGCCACTGAACTGTTGGCCTCACACTGTGTTGAGATGGCTGAGCGGGCCGGTGCTGACCGTGCACGTGTTACCTCCACGGTAAGATCTTCTGTGGATATCCACAGCCCTGGTGATCTCATGACTCTAACAGCAGCTGCTGCAACTGGTAAGGCTTTGTTGCAGCTCCACAAGGCTTTTTCGGTTTCGTTGATATGCATTTGATCTGACTTTGTTTAACTGCCACTAGCTTTGAGAGGAGAAGCGGCTCTGAAGGCGAGGCAGCCAAAGGAAGCAAGGAAAAATGCAGCTATTACCCCTTTTGAGAGAAGCTTCTCTGATTCTCATTGGCATGCAAATTTTCAGTTTAGATTGGAAGAACCAAATCTTCCATTTGAAGGTGAACTGATGCAATGTGCGCGAAATGGTAATTCACTTCTGTCTGTGCGAGTCCGATCAATCGAAGAGTTCACTGATAAGAGAGAGAGCTTAACTCTTCTTCTTTGTGCTTTAACTTGCAGGAGTGCAGCGAACTAAGCGTGTCTGCGTCTATATCAACAAGAAGTCTCAGGTACAGCAGAGTTGATTAGTATCCGTAACACACAACACATCTCAGCTCAGTTCTGAGCCAATGCTTATTATGCTACTTATGATTTTGCAGGTAATGATCAAACTCAAAAGTAAACATGTTGGAGGGGCATTCTCCAAGAAGATCAAATGTAAGCATTTACTAATCCTTCAGTTTAGATAAATTACCGGTCAAGACGACATTCTGAACTTGTTGTTCCTTTTTGAAGGTGTCGTCTATGGAGTCTGCGATGAGAAATCAGCTTGGCCTTACAGGAAAGAGAGGGAAAATTCAGAAGAAGTCTACTTTGGTCTGAAAACCGGACAAGGTCTTTTGGAGTTCAAGTGCAAGAACAAGATTCACAAGCAGAGATGGGTTGATGGGGTTCAGTCTCTTCTCCGCCAAGTAAATTGCTTTGAGGCTGCCAAATGCTCGCTGGGATCTCTGAGTCTCACCGGTCACACATGATACAAGATCCTGTATATATTTGATTATATACACATATATAATATCCACATTTTTGCTGTTGTGAGGTATTTGTAAAACCTGGCAATGTACAACAATGTCAGTCTCTGTAACCTCAGAAGACTTTTGGGATAAAACACAGCAGGTTGTTCAAATGATCACAACAAGTGTTAGGAACATTGCTTTGTACAGAAAGACATCAGAAGAATGATGAATCTCAATTGAACTTTTTATTTCCAATGATTCAGTTTCTGATTTGCAAAGCCAAAACATTGACTTGTAAGCTATGAAGAGTCAAAAAATTGTAGAGAAGTGGTATGTATATTTTTGCATGAGTGAGAAGTTCATATGAAGAATCAGGTGAGAGACATGACAGAGATTCTCATGTAGACCGTATTAGAATACGACAGTCTTTTGTGTCCCGTAAGGCAATACTCGCAGTTCGCAGTAAGATTTTATAGCTTTCATGAGACACTTTTTCTCAAGGTCCTCTGATTTCTGGACAAAGCTTCTCAAATTGTCTCGGTGGGAAACTCTCTCAACCTGTAAAAATCAAATTGAGATGCTTCTTAAGAACAATGCAACACTCAAACAAATAAACTAGTTGGGAGATGAATCACCATTTGTTCAATGATAGGACCTGAATCAAGTTCCTCTGTAACAAAGTGAGTTGTTGCACCAATTAGTTTCACACCTGCATCAAATGCCTACCGATAGAATCTAGAACAGTAAGAGACACGGACGAGTTAAATATAAATAGCACAACTCATGCAAGCTAGAGCCATCAAAGAATTCAGAAACCTGTTTCACGGGATTTCGTCCCTTGAATGATGGCAAGAGGCCATGATGGATGTTGATTACATCTTTTCCATAACCTTTCAAGAAGTTACCGGATAGTAGCTGTCAAAGGAAACTGTTCCAGTCAACATCATCCATCAATATAATAACAAATGCTAAGAAAGTTCTTTTGTTAATAAAGCTGTTCCTGCAAAGAAGCATAAGCTCAAAGCAAGAACAGTCTGAGGAGAAAATTTGATCCATTTTGGTGTTAAACTAGAGAAGAAAGTGTAATGAGACTATTCAGGACAAAGAAAACGAGCCTAGGATGGACCTTAAAAGCTGATATACCTGCATGTATCTAGCGAGAACTAAAAAATCGGTATCCTTAACCAATTCAAAAATCTCCTCTTCTATTTTCTTCTGATCAGTAGTTGGCAAATAATGATATGAGATGCCATGCCTCTGGAGAAACCGCATAATATGGGTGTTTGGAGCTCTTTCATGATTACTGGATACACAAAATATTCCGAAATCAGTAGTCATACATGCATAACTAAATATATCCATTCAATACGTCAAGTAGAGTTAAAGGTAAACCTTATCACACATGTTATATCGACGGGAAGTTTTCCGTCCTGCCATTTATGTAACATTTCAACCAGACAATGATCCTATATACAAAAGAATCACACAACTTCAGGAAAAAGAAACAAGAAGACACAGAATAAAAGGATCTTCTTTATGACATAGCATGTACCTGTTTCGACAGTAGAAGAGCTATCTTGTATTTAGGGTCTAAAGAGGGCACTCGTACTACTGAGCTCAAAGCACTAAATTTTTGTGCAATAGTTTGAAAATCTTCATCCATCTGCCTCCTTGGCCATTTTACTGGATCAAATATAAACTCACTGCCCAAAGAAATTACCTTTTCATCACAACTTAACCCAAAAATAGAAACTTGCTTTTAGAGTTGATAGTATTCACTTTAAAGACATTGGTTCAGAAAGAAACCAAGAGAATCTATTGAAGTAGCATCAAAGGTGAGATTTTTCAAATGGAAAAATGGAAACTTTACCTTCTAGAGTAGAAGACGTTCTTGTTCTCAGGAACAAAAACATCGTCACCAAGAATGTTTCCTCCTTTAGCAGCAAT